GCCTTAGAGTACTTCCTGCTACAACATGCCCCTGAAAAACCCATTGTTTAAGGAAATGCTGAATCTCTTGGTAGGAAACAAATGACAAAGTCCATTGAGGGGGGATCTGCTCACACAAGCAGGTGGGAGATGTAACACATTAACTGACGATTGATTTATCATTTGCATGTTACCGTAAGACACATGCACAAATAAACATTTCACTGAATAGCTGTCTATCAGCCTTTCTTTCACTGACAGACTCAAGATCACATCTCATGTTTTACTGGGCATTTTTATGAGGTTCAAAGTTATTAATTGAGATCACACAGGAATTCAGCTCCTTCATGTTTAAATGAAATAACATAGCATTACAATATAATATAACTACAATTCAGGTACTATTTAATGACAATGTTTTTCTTAAGAACTTCTCCTCGGCTTCAAAGCTTCTGTTCAATCCATCATCAAATTCTTTAAATACTAATTCTTAAAACTCTGATTTCTCAATTGTAATTTTACTCTTAAGTGTCCATCAGAAGAGGATGGGTTCATATTAATACTGTTAATACTGAGTAAATCTTAAAATTAACCTGCATTTAAATAATTATATACCAGTCTTGATCAAAATCAGTCTATAGAAGTAATTGTCATTAGTATTGAATGGCCCATGTCCTAAATTTTTCCATGTATAATAATTCAATAACAATAATTTGTGAATAATTATTCATTAGAATAATTGAATAAATGAATTTGTTTTTACATAGTAATTTCCCATCCTTTTTTATCCATTAGAATTAAAGAGGTTGTTTTTTCTTTGCGTTTAACTTTGATGCATGTACAGTGGAAATCACAGCATGGGGTCAGAAAAACTTCTGAAAAACACTGTCTATGAAAACAGTTCAGTGCTGCATCCACAAATGCTAATTAAAACTCTTAAACACAAAGGAGAAATCATATATAAACAGGATCCAGAAACGCTGCTGCATTCTCTGGGCCTGAACTCATTTAAAATGGACTGAGGAGTAGTGGAAAAGTGTCCTGTGGTCTAACAAATACACATTTGAATTTCTTTTTGGAAATCATGGACACTGTGTCCCCCGCGCTGAAGACCACTCAGCTTGTTATCAGTGCACAGTTCATAAGTCAGTATTCATGATGGTACAGGGAGACATTAGTGCACATGGCATGGGTGACATGCACATGTGTGAAGGCGCCATTAATGCTGAATGATATATACAGGTTTTGGCAACATATACTGCCAGCTTCTTTTTCAGTAAAGGTCCTGCTTATTTCAGCAAGACAATGTCAAACCTCATTCTGCATGTATTACAGCAGCATGGCTCTGTATTAAAAGAGTCCGGGTGCTAAGCTGGCCTGCCTGCAGTCCAGACCTGTCACCACTGAAAACATTTGGCACATTAAAAAATGAAAAATACGACAAAGGAGACCCTGAACTATTGAGCAGCTGAAATCCTATATTAAGCAATAATGAGAAAACATTTCACTTTTAGAACTACAGCAGTTGGTTTCCTCAGTTCCCAAACACTTACAGAGTGTTGCTCAAAGAAGAAGTGAAGAAACACAGTGGTAAGCATGCCCCTGTCCCAATTTTTTTGGAACGTGTTGTTGGTATCAAATTCAAATTGGGCATATATTTTATATATATTGGGCATAAAATTTCTCAGTTTCAACATTTGATATGTTCTCTTTGTAGTATTTTCAATAAAATATAGGGTTTAAATAATTTGCACATAATTGAATTTTGTTTTTATTTACATTTTGCACAGCATCCCAACATTTTGGGAAATGGGGTTGTAAATTACTGGGCTGAAACATTCCCTATAACTTCTTCATGAGTGGGTGGAGCTAATCTGCTGTAATAGGTAGATATATGTTGTATGTTATATGTGTGTTGGGGCTATATCCTGCAAAGTACAGACATGGACATAGTGGGGACATCCAGGTGCTGGACATTCATGCAGTGGTGGAACATGCAGTGGTGGAATGCTGCTGAATCTGGCCAGAGACATTCAGCAGGGCAGGGGTTCTATTGATCCATTCATTCTTTTTAAGCATGATGGTCCATTGGAGGTTTCAGTCCTCCTGGAATTCAGCCCAGTGTTCAGTGTTCTGAAACTGAAACTCCACTCAGCCCTATAACTACAGCATGCCCTGAGAAGCCTTGGTTTGAGGAAATGCATAATCTTTTGTTAGGAGGCAAATGACAAAGTTCATTGAGGAAGGACCTGCTCGCTAAAGCAGGAGGGAGATGTGACACACTAATTGAGCACTGTTTTGACAACGTGTATTTCACTGTAAACACACGCTTGGATTAATATTTCAGCCATTGAGAACAGATGTCTATCAGCCTTTCTTTTACTCACTGGATAAGGGTCATATCTCATGTTTTATAGGGCATTTTGTTTGAAAACTTTAACTTTCTTTTGTATATATAAAATGACTTCCAAAGAATGCTATCATATAATGCCATGAAATTACCCTCAATCAAGATAAGGATGACATAATATAACAAGGGAACTACTGTTTGATCTGAATGCTTCTTTTTAATGCTTAATTAGTTTTCTTTAATCATATTTCTCATAACTCTCATTTGTTAATCATAATTTTACTATGTGGTGTCAAGCAGAGGGGAGAGGGTTCCCCTTTTTGAGTTTTTCGTTCCTTCAGTGCTTCTTTCTCAGCCGCTGACTCCCTCAGCTTGCTCATTGAAAATGTTGCTGTACATTTTTCGTACAACTGGTTTATAATGGTTTTATTATTAACAGTTACATTACATATATATTAAATAGACAAAAAAGAAATATGTAGTATAACATTTTAATATGATACTGACATTTCAGCATTGACTACAGGATGTACAAATAAATGCATGAACATTTTTAAATGTGTCACACTAGAGGTGTCATCTCTTCTGGACATCAGGCTAGTCCTCAGTGTAGGAGATAAATGATGAAGTATTACTAAGCAAGGACACACTGACATTATGATGTTGTGGCAGTTTGATCTGAATGCCTTTAATGCTTGTCTAAGTATTTGAGTTTGAGTTCCCCTTTTGAGCGTTTAGGAGTTTTTACTGCCACTGTGTCCCTCAGCTTGCCAACATTTATAATGGTTTAATGATTCCATTATTAGCAGATACATATGGCATGATTATATGCACTGAAAACAGAAATATAAATAAATATGTGATATGTCTTTTCTCATTTATGATACTGGCATTTTAAATAAATGCATGAAAATGCTGGACACTAAGCGTCCACTGAAGGAGTCAGCCCTGTTAGATTCTAGCCCAGTGTTATGCACTCTGGTTCAATGTTCTGGAAGACAATCCACTCAGCCCTATAGTACCTTCTGATACAGCATGACCTGAAAACATGTGTTTTTAGGAAATGCAGGATCTCTGAGTAGGTGACAAATGACAAAGTTCATTGAGGAAGAACTGCTTGTTTAAACCAGAGCAGGACGTGACACACTAATTGACCATTTGCTTTGACGACACATATCTCACTGTAAAACACTAAACACTCAGATTAATATTTCAGCCTTTGAGAACTGCTGTCTATCAGCCTTTCTTTTATTAACTTTTATTGATTTACTAGTGTTATAAAGTAAATGGATGTTTCACAGAAAGTCATCAACTTCATGTCCATGAAAAAATATGATAGCAATACAATATTATATATTGACGCTTTCTGAAGAAAGACACGTGTCTCCAAAATAACTTCACAAGAGGTGACAACTTTTCATGTAAGTTAATGTAGAGGTTTTATTCTAAGTGTCTTTGTAGCATTTCTATTGCTGCATTCCTCATGAAATTTTTACACAATGTAATAGACAACTGTCATGTTAACATGATGTGGAAAAAAATCAACAAAAACTGAGACATGCTTTTTTTAATGTGATGATACATTGCAGCATTTAATACTACTTAACAACAATCTTTAATACACTTCTAATATTAGTCACTGTTTTTTCTCATGGATCTCTCCACTGTATGATCTAAATGCTTGTTTAATGTTTAATGTTTTATCCAGTTCCTTTAATCAACTCCCTTTTGTTAATTTTGCTGTCTAGGGTCATTCAGAGGAGGTTGGGTACCCCTTTGGAGTCTTTAGTTCCTCCTTCTTCCTCATGCTCTTAGCAACCTTTTCCACTATAGCCCTCAATTTGCTGTTTAGGGTCTTGAACCTGATTTTGGTGAAGCCCTATCCATCGTAAAACAACGCCCCATAAATACATTTGAATTTAATCCTCTACTGCACGCATTATGCGAGCAATAATAATAATAAAAAAAATTCAATTCACTTTTCTTGCATGAAATCGACCTGATTACTAAATTCAAAAACATTTTTTAAATAATAATATGTGCAGGGGTCCTTTTGGGGTATGTTGCCCTGAGGCACATTGTGTGACAATGGGAAGAAATGATATAAGACCATGTTCCCTGAAGTGGCGAGATCTGGCTTGAGACTGGCTAAATCCATTCCACTGCCCTACAGTGTTGCTTCTAGGTACCAAACAAATTCTAATAACATGATACTGAATGTTAAAAAAGAGGTTTAAAAGTGTCCATTAAGAGATAGTATGGCCAAATACATCCTTTTATTGACTTACTCAAACTCTTCCCTTTATTATTAACCCTGTCATTGTTGTTAAATATATGAAATGTTAGTGTAAAGTGAGGAAAATTGGTTTGTTGCCTAGAGGCAACGTCGTGCAATAGAGGGTTAACTTAATGCAGTGTTTTCAGACATGTGAGCCCAAATTATCATATCAAAAAGCTAAACCGTCTGAGATATGCAAACTATCCTAATTCATTCCATGTATAATGACTTTGAAAGTACATGTTGAAGTTCTGTAGTCTTAAATATTGTGCAATACAACAGTTTGCAAGAAAAATAAAAACCTTGCTCCAATATTAATATTATAATTATAAATAATAATAAATATAAATAATATTATATTTATCTAATTATCAGTAGTTAAAACTGGGATATTTAAACACATTATATAATATACAAAAATAAATAAATGCAGTATAAAATTTAAACTGATACTGACATTTCAGTCTTGGCTAGAGAATTTACAAGTAAATGCATAAAAATGTCTACACACTTCAAAACAGAAAAAGGTCTATCAGTCTTCCTTTCATTTACAGAATCAAAATCACACCCATGTTTTACAAGACATTTTAGAAAGCCTTTATTGGTTTATGTGTTATAAAACAAAATAGAAATTTCACACCAAGTCATCTCAGTCAACATGCACACAAAATAAGATAAAACCATTACAATAAAATATACGATATACAATACTACTTGTGAGTAGTACTAAATATTACTTCACCTCTCAGTGTTTCTTCATGTTCTTAGGGAGTTTTTCTTGCCTCCATTGCTCTCAGCTTGCTTATTAAGGGCTTGACCCAATTTCTGTGAAGCTACTTCCTTACAACACTTGTAATAAGTGCTATACAAACAAATTTCCATACGTGAGTACCCACATCATAATAAAAGCTAAATCTATACATGAATGATGGAATATGAAAGGTAGTACTTAGCAAAGTATGCAAATTATACAAACATTATATTAGACATCATCATAAACTGCTTTTACATTCTGTGCCATATGCTATGCTATTACATTCAGTTCTGTAGTATGTGTAGCTTAAACATTGTGCAATACAACTTACAGCTTACCAGAAAAACAAAACAGTATTCATACATAGATAATGGTTCAGCATTACTAGTTACAATCGGCATAATTATACATTTTAAAGTATATCATTTTATTCTGATACTGATATTTCATTATTGTCTGCACAATTTACAAAAGAATGCATGAAAATGTTTTAGTGTATCACACTAAGCTGAGTGAGAATCATGTGTAACAAAAATAAACCAGTTGGCCTTAAGAGATGGCTCTCAGAGCAGCTCTGAATAATTTGACTTTTGAGGTAACTCTTGCATTTATTATTTTATTTCTGAGCACTTTTATGAAAAGAAGGACCAGGACAGCAAATGTCTGAATGAAGAACATCTCTGCTGATTTTGACACTAGGGCTCACCATCTGGGTATCCTCTTTAATGGAAAACCCTACTGGAAATCAGCCTAGATGAATGCAGTATTACTGGATTAGGGGCAATCAGGGTCAGCGTTCTTCCATGGTAGTGAATTGCTAAATATAAGCGACTGATCCGGAACAGCTCTTTGCTTGCTGGAAGCTCTAGGAGACAAATTATAAACATTTGAAAATTCATGTGCATATGGATCCATTTTTAACTCTTTTTGAGAGGCAAAACCTGAGTTAGAGTAAGCAAACACTGACTGATCCTTCATGTTGTTGTGTTGCTTTGTAGTATTTTCATGTTCGATGGAATTGTGTGCCTTACCACAAAATCCCAATAAGGACAGGAACACGGGTATGAATACGACACCATGAACCAGCCCAAAAAGGATGACTAAGAACATGATCTTAAAGAACGTCCTGAAAATGTAACTTTGTGAGGCTGCCAGCACCACTACCCCTGCAATGGTCGACACTGCTGCCTGGATCATTGGATAGCCAAGGTTGTAGAGAGCATCTATAGCCTTCTTATTTCCTGAGGGCTCATTACTTGAGACAAAAGCATAGGATATGTGAGCAGAGAAGTCAACAGAAAAACCAATGCAAATGACCAGATTGATCATAGATATGGAATCTAGATTAACATCCCACAGTGCCATGAAACCGGCCACGCCCACAATGACAGATGCAATAGCAAATGTGACCCAGAGAGAGCAGATAGGGTTTGGAATCAACAGTAGGGATATGACCAACATAGCCAGAGTAGCGACTACTACATTTTGGATAGTGTTGCTAACTATGACAGCATATTGGTCAAAATAGATAAATGCATAGTGGTACACTAACAGATCAACTGCTTGGCAATTTTCAGCAGTTTCTCTAAAAGCATTCAGCATGTTTTTTTCATCAATGGCTCTACTAATGTTCACTGTCTGAACAAACATGCGAGAGGCAAGAATTTGGTTGTCAGTAAAGTTGACATCCTGACTAAATCTTGAAACTTGTAGAAATCCAGGCAGGCTGGTTTTGAATATATTCTCATCATTTAAATCTAAAGTGTCTTTTCCATAAAGCATGTAAGACTGAAGCCAAGAAATAAGCAAATCTTTGGACGTCATGGAGAGATTATTAAACTCTTGAAGACATAAGTCAAGACTCTCTCGTGCACTAGTGTTCCAGTATTGAAATTCATCATCCTTGATAACTATCATGACATTGGGACCATACTCTGAAAAGTATTTCTTTTCCTTATCATAGTATTCAACAACATATGAGCTGTCTACAGCTAAATTTTTTAGTTCAATTCCTTCTTGGATTTGTAAGCATCCATAGATGCTAGCAGCCAAATAGCCACAGTAGAGAATGATCATAAATACTTTAGTGCAGGAATGTGTCAAAAATGGCCCATAGTATTTCTTAAAGAACAAATGAATTGGCATTTCTTTTTCAGTACCAGTCTCCTTATCGTAAGCCCCTCCTACATAACATATATTTCCATCAGGATTGTCCTTTTCTTCTGGTACTACCATGCAGGTCAGCCAATGTCTATTGCCCTGTTCTCGCCTTCCATTTAGAGCTAGAAAGGCACCAAAAAATGTGATGTTGTAGATGTAGCAGAATAACACTGCTGTACCAGTGTACATACAGAAAGACTGCACTGAGCGGAAAGGGGTCATAAGGCCAATGTAGAAAGCTAGAACATCAGTTAGTGTGGTGATAGTGATGGATACAGCTGCTTCTTTATATGTTTCTGCCAATCGCTCTTCAACTTGATCTTTAACTTTAGTCTTCTGCCAGCAGGAGATCATAATGAACATGTCATCAACTCCGATTCCTGGACAGATTGCATGAAGTAGTAAATTAGTAGTAAATCATAAACATCTACAATCATAACTTAAGCAAAATGTGAAATATCACAGTAAGGCTCACCCAGAATCAAAAATGGAGCTGAAGCCACTGTCATAGCAAAGGGCATTCCACAGAAGAGCAGCAACCCAAAACTGGACAGCACAGCCAGACCAGCGGAGAGTACCCCAAATGATGCAACCCACACCTTGTTCCTCACACAGTCCAATCTACAGAAAGTAAATGAATGACAAATTATAGTGGAAACTTATATGAAATAATCAACTAATCAATGGAAGATGTTTATGTAAATATACAGCTAGTGCTGAAATGCCCAGTGAAAAGAATAATCCTACTTAAACATTGTCGGAAAATACAGATTTAAGAAATACTCAATCTTGTGTGTATAATGTATAAAACACCACCACAGAAAACATTCCAAAAATAGTATTTATCCATTTGACAGTGCACCTATGATGTTTCAAAATCAGTCATAATCAGCAAAATCAAAACATGGTCAGAAATTTATCTTCACACATTGTGTAGAGATGTATTTTTCATTAACGCACCTCAAGCAAGATATAATTGAGATGGTAATGGCTAAAAAATAAGTGATGGAAAAGAAAGGAATCACAGAAGCTGAACTGCTCTCAAACTCCTCTTCTCTTGATAAGGAAGTGAAGTAAGACACAGACACCTAAACAGACAGAAAATACAAATTAATGTGACGTCTCATAATCTCAAAACAGGCTTTTCTAACCTCTAAAAGACAGTCATGTGACAATTGCACGTCGTTAAAAATATTTGGAAAAGTCCCTAATAAATAATGTTGTAAAATGAAAGTTTACTTTTATTTGAACTGTATGATCACTGCCAACATTATTATAAGTGTCAACAGCTTATTTAATAAATCAACAAAAGAATATTTTTTGAGGCTATGGTGAGATTTTTCAACTCATAGCACATATTACATAAGCAAAAGTATAGGTACACACCAATGGAAGACGATGTCTAATTAATTGATGCAGGATCTATAGGAACATCTTTACTGCTGGTCACTTACAGACTAATGTTGAAAAAGCAGGCCAGAATGTCTAGTAGTGATCTACTCACCGTGTTCAGTCCTGTGTAGTTGGAAAAAAAATGTATAAACGCTTTCAGCCACTGAACGGTTTCGTTTAAGTTTTCTTCTTTTAAGAAATAAAAAAGTCTCATCGCCTTTGCACTATTAACCTTCGAGCTACCTTCTTTTAACTGTACACCCCCCAGGACTGACCCTAAGAAGACCCCTTTATGCTCTGGATACTCAAGAGTGATATCTGAAATTTTACTGGCGGTGTAGTTTATAATGTCTAACACTGGATTCGACATGCACGTTCCATCATTTCGAGCACAAAGGCTTGCAAAAGGGTTCTCTGTATTAAGACGTTTCACTTGTTTGTCTAAGTTAATTATTTCTGTAAGCGCGTCATCTGTTAATATGTTCTGCAAAGCTGTAATTATCAGGGAGCCATATGTTCCCTCTGTTGAGAGCCGTAACTGTGAGAAATCTCCAGTGTTCTGGAAGTTATCTTGTACAAACGCCCTCTCTCGTTTAGCGAGGCCGTTCACAGGTGTGAACTGATCCTCAATGCCGTTTGCCTGTCTGTCGCGAAGAAAAATGAAACCCGCTCCAAGACCACCAGACAAGAACAAAGGCAGAATCAAAAACCACCACGGGTGGCTACCAACAAAACGCCCGAACCATCTAAAGCCCGAGGACAGCGGTTTTTCTAAGCAGTCAGTTTTGCATCTAGACATTTTCCTGTAAAGGCTGTGTCTACTTAAGCTGCTCAAAGCCCCCTCTCCCTCTGACCACCACAGCGTAACTAGGCGCCGACCAGCAATACTCCTGAAACATATCAACGCGTCAGGATACTCATTAACCCAGCTCAGTTCCTGTGACGACGACAAAGCCATCAGCTGAGCAGCCAAGCCTATTCCAAAGAAACTGTTTTATGCTGTGAGAGTGGAGGGAGCCATCACGTTAAACAGCGACATAAAATACGATCCAGAGCCAAATATGGATTCAAATCAACAAACTCAACCGCGCTCATAGTCTGTCCAAGAGGAGGTAAGTATTAAGATACACAAAACATCCAAAAGTTGGTCATCTGCTCATGCAGTGTTTGTACTGAAATCAATATTTGATTGGATTGAAAATGACTCCGTCTCCCTTTGCTGCAGTTACAGCCTCTACTCTACTCAGGGCTGTCAAACTCAACCACTTAAAGGGTCATATTAAAAAATGTAATGGGCCAGAGAACACCTGTGTTTTTCTTTCTTTTACATATTTTGCTAAAACCCAAATACGGCGACAGCAAATAGGCACTTGGAGTAGACCTTGGAATATGAGATGAATACTTGAAAAATACTATACATACATATATATCAGTCCACCTTAAATGAGCTCGGGCCCAGAGAAGGTGGTGGCATTTCTAGATTCTGTTTATTTATGGTTTCTTCTTTGCACTGTAGATTTTTAACTTGCATTTGTGGTGAAGCAACAAACTGTGTTCACAGACAATAGTTTGTGCAGTGATTTCCACTACAGAATCGTGTTTATTTTTAATGCAGTGCAACCTGAGGGCCCAAAGATCGTGGCCAGCCAATACTGGTTTTCGGCCTTGTCCCTTGCACACAGAGATTTCTCTGGATTCCCTGAATCTTTTAATAATATTATGTACTGTAGATGATGACGTTCTTTGCTATTTTACCTTGAGAAGTGTTGCACTATTTGCCCGCACAGTCTTTTACAGACTGGTGAACCCCTCCCCATCTTCATTACTGAAATACTCCACCTCTCTGGGATGCTCTTTTTATACCCAATCATGTCACTGATTTACTTTATTAGTTGTTAAGGTGTTTTTTAGCATTACACAACTTTACCAGTCTTTTGTTGACCCGTCCCAACTTTTTTGAAACAGCTAATTCAAAATGGGGATTTATTTTTAGAAAACAATACAATTTCTCAGTTTTAACGTTTGATATGTTGTCTTTGCAATATTTTCAATTAAATATAGGATTTAAATGATTTTCATTCTGTTTTTATTTACATTTTGCTCAGCTCCCAACATTTTTGCAAAAGGAATTTTATGACATTCTTCATTCTGGTGATCACAGAGCACAATATTAAAAAGCTCCTATAATCCTATGATAATCAATTTTTCTTATTAATTCATAATAAGAAAAAAATGTCTGAGAGAATAAAAAAAATCCTTTGAACAATCAAACAATCATAAAAGTGCAATCAAAAAATCATAACAATCAAAAAAGAAATTTGTTTCTTTAGTCCCATGTTATATTGAGCATCTGGCAGCTGAGGTCCCAGAGTCGCTGTGCTGTTGTATCATCCATAGCAGCATTGGAGCAACTAGCAGGTGCACAGTCACTGTGAAGAAGATAGTAGAAGGTCAGTGTAGTGCAAACTTGTTGTTGTATCTTTATGGAAAAAAATCATAACAAAACAAAACAAAAAAAAAAACAGTTAACGGTTTAGAATGGTGTGCCACATGTACTGATCTTACCTATAATACTTGCCACTCTCAGTCTCCAGCTCAGGAGCTACTGCACAGTAGTTGGTGGTTTGAGCTCCCTGCACTGCTGTTTTGGTAAAGGGCTTTATCAACCACATAGCTGCCTGCTGCGGCTGATTCAGGTGTCTCCACAGTTCTGTCTGCACTACGCCAGGGTGAAGAGCATATGTTGTGACACCCGTACCTGTTAAAAACAATTAGGACTGAGAATGAGGGAGGAAGGGGATGTACGTTGTCTTCAGCCACTAGGCCCCAGCTAATCAGACACTTATACAACTAAGCAGAGCTAAGCCATTAGCATTTGCCTCAAAACAAATTCCCAGCGCCTTCCTTAGAAGAGGCATGTTACCCTTCCTCAACATAACTTATGCTGCTCATCTAGTATACATCAACCGGGCATTTCATTTAGTTCACCAATCCTGAATCTACACTGTTGGACCATTTTATCTGGTCAAGTTATTATATAGGCACACTTCGTAGTTCTACACTAACAGGTTGTAGTCGATCTGTTTCTTTGCATACTTTGTTAGCCCCCTTTTCCCCTGTTCTTCAATGGTTAGGACCACCACAGGGCAGGTATTATTTGGTGGATCATTCCCAGCACTGCAGTGACACTGATGTGGTGGTGGCGTGGTAGTGTGTGTTGTGCTAGTACGAGTGGATCAGACACAGCAGTGCTGCTAGAGTTTTTAAACACTGTGTCCACCCAATGTCCACTCTATTAGGCACCCCTACCTTGTTGTTCCACCTATAGAGGTAGAGTTAGACATAATGGCTCATCTGCTGTTAGTTATTCTCCAGTCTTTCATCCAGGCCATAGGACGCTGTTGGCTGGATATTTTTGGTTTGTGGACTACTCTCGGCCCAGCACTGGCACTCAGGTGTTTACGAAACCTCAAATTTCACCATGATTTGATTCAATTTGATTTTGATATTGAATATACAACTGTAAGTGGAAGAAGGATTACAGATAAATAAATACATCCAGACGTTTACTGTTGTATTCAAAATAGCCTGAGACTTGTATGAGCACATGCATAATGATATGTAACATTCCAAAACATATGCAGTTGATTCACCATTTGTACATCCCTTATGACAAATCTAACTGTCAGAGTTAGCAGCACTCACCCTCTAGTTTTTTGGCCAGGCAGCGAGTGAAGAGCACGTTGGCCAGTTTGCTCTGACTGTAAGCTTTTGACTTATCATAGCTCTTCTCGCTGTTGAGGTCATCTAGATTGATGGTCCCCCACTTATGCGCCATGGATGATACATTGATGATCCGAGCTGGGGCAGATCTTTTAATCAGGTCCAGTAGTAGATATGTCAACAAGAAGTGACCTATGAGACCATGTGGACAGCAATGAGTGCTCTTTCAATGACAATTCTCTTGAATCATCAAGTCAAATTACTCGTTTAAAATCGCTCAAACTTACCCATGTGGTTAACCCCAATTTGCATCTCAAAACCATCTGCTGTTTTGCCATAAGGACATACCATCACTCCAGCATTGTTAATTAGGATGTTGACTGCTTTCTCCTCTAAGAAAAAAAAGACGTGTAATTAGATAGGATCATACACATTTTAAAAGGGAGATTTTGCAGATAATTTATGTTGACTTATCTAATATGTACATTGTTTTTTTTATGGTTTTATACAATCATATGCATTTTTCAGTTCTCTGACACTTCCAAAATAAATTTATTACTACTGTCACTGAAATCATGAAGTTTAAGTTCATGCCCACTGATTATGCTGTACTTACATCTGAACACTACATAGTGCAGGTGGTAGTGAGTGTATGAAGAAAGCTATGGGTATGTAGAACATATCAGGCTACAATGAACCTCCAGCTGAAGCAATAGCTTATATGTGTCGGTCATATTCTTTAGTAATGAATGTTATGATTAACTAAAGAGAAAGTAAAAATGCCCCTCATAGGGTGTAGAAGTGGCTTCATCAATGTGTTTCTTGATTGCTACCTAATGACTAATTGGACACCAAATGAAAAGAAACTAAGTGACAAGCCTAAACTCAAACAAGGACATCCATCCATCACTGACTTGCTTTGCAGAAAATTCAGTACTATACACAAGAGATTCCCAACCTGTTCCTCAGGGCTGACCCACGACTTTGCTTGAACCCAGTTCCCACCTGTTTTTAAAAAAATTCTGCCTAGCTCCCGAGTGGCGCAACCGTCTAAGCGTTGGCCCTATCATCAGGAGATCGCGAGTTCGATCCCTGGTGATGCTACAGCCATCCGTGGCCGGGAGTCCGAGAGAGCACAATTGGCCTCGCTCTCTCTGGGTGGGTAGGATGGCCCCTCCCTCTCCCCCCATCACTCAGCGCGATGCTAGTCAGCGCAGGCGTCTGTTAGCTGACGTAACAGATCTGGCGGTTGGCGCTTTCCTCCGAGCGCGTTCGGTGTCCAGTGACGTTGCGTGAGCGGCAGCTCGAAAAGAAGCGGTGGTTGGCTTCACAGGTCTCGGAGGAAGCCTGTGTTAGCCTTCACCCTCCTAGCGTTGATAGCATCGTGTGATTGGGGGAGTCCTAACTAGCGGGTGGAATTGGAGACGACTAAATTGGGGAGAAAACCGGGTAAAAATAATAATTCTGCCTATTTTGAATATTGATATATAAACAAAACCACTCAGAGTGGTCTGATGTGAAATTGTGCACTATAGAGAAACTTACCAACTTGGATTGGTTATGATATTAACCAGAGGTTGCCATGTCTACAACACACATAGTAAAGTTATTTGCTATTCAAAATGACCTGTGCACCTGCATATGTGTTCTGAATTTTATATGTTGATAACGGTAAAGCGGTTGTAAATCAAAAAAATAAAGTTTTCTTTGGTTGCTATTTTGCCTTACAAAGCCATGCATGAACCTCTGCACTGTGAATGTATTTAAAAACAATGTATTAGGCTAAAACCTTAGTAGCTATTGTGATGTCTCGGGCAACAGGAAATATATGTATAACCATTTCATGTAATAGCTTTCTGTGAGTAAGCTTTTAGAGGCATTAAAAACACTGTGGAGGTCTGGTTCCAATCACCACTACTGTGAAAAAGCATGATTGTAGTCTCTCTAGAATGGCATATTTCACATCTTACAAATGCGAATGACTTTGTTTACTGATCCTAATGACTTAATTATGTAAAAATGTACTTTTTAACAAACACATGTTAGGAGCAGAGATTATATGGAACAAAATGTAGAACATCAGAAGGAACTGAGAACTAGTTTGAGAACTACTGCTATACACTGCGTTCAGTGCAAGAACAACAAACTGCAATGGTAAGGTGATGCTTGATGTTTCTCTTGATGAACTCTGATGTTTCAGATGTACAGTAACATAACATGGTCTGAAGGGATGTAGATTATTTTGTCTAGTTTTGATTTGTCATGATGAATTTGCAGTATATGTAGATTGTCTAGTTTACATATAATTTGAACAAAGATATAACTGCTTTGACCAAGTCTGTGTTAGAGGGGGAGGACACCTGCAGGTGGTCTCACCTCACCTCACACTCTCTCTCTATATCTTTCTCTCTCAACTCTTAAGAGTGTTAACCTGCTGATTTTCTTTGAGCTTTTGTCTTGGTTGGGCCTTTGGGTGTGAGGTTGTGTGCATTAGCATGAACGTGTTGACCTGTTGTGATTATGTTTTGCTCTATTTTTATCCATTCTGTTTCCTTTCTCATGTTCCTGTAATGCTGAAAAACATTTTTCTTATTAAATTTTATAATCTACTTTTGAAATTCAGTGTCTGGTCTTCTCTTCTTGGTTTTTGGGTTGTATTACTTCACGGACGTTATAAATAGGTGTTTTCCATACATTTCTAAATTTCTAGTCTTAGTCATGCTGTGGTAAATTACCCAGCACAACAATCAGCAGTTATTTGCTAGGCAGGAAAAAGAGTACAATGCTAACAAGCCCTTCAGCAGTAGTGAAACTATGCAAAGGTGGAAATTACATTGTGCATACAGTAAAGCATATTTAAGCTCATTTTCTTTCTTTTTTTTTTTACCAGATTAGGCAATAATTTACAAACACAGTATACAGGAACAATTATTTATGCAATTTCCTTGGTCATAAAAGTAGCAAATATTTAATATTTTATCACAGATACTTGGCTTTTAAGCATGTTGTCAGACCACGATCATATAAATACTGGAAATTATAGGCAGTCTAGTCTCAGTAATATGTAGACTAAATATGATTTCACTTTGCACAAGGGCTTCAGTGTACTATCACCTCACTGATTTTGCAATAGCACAACAATACAGGGTTGCGTAAAAAGTATCTACAGGAATCTCTTGCTAGTGTTGTTGTGCATGACTCAACTGTCATAAAGAAACTGCACAAGTGAATGGCTCAAAGCAGGAGGTCAGCTCTGCTGATTCACCCATAAATTCTACAATGAATATGCTACAGAACGTAAGGCCAATGTAGATTTTGATATGAGACAATGACTCAAAATATTCATGCCACTACAGAACGGTTCTAACACCTTGCAGATCATGTAAGATCAAGACATACAGCAGGAATGTTTCATGTCATTATTTCTGCTAAACCTACACAGTAGCAGTACCTAGATGTGACTAGGTTGTGTACATACTAGTAAATCTAACGGGTTGTGAGGAAGAGAAGCCTACCTATATGCTACACTATACTTTGGATTATTTATGGTTGTTGCAATTAATATTCATATGATAAAAGTAGGTACATTCATGTTTGACAGAGTTTAAACAGATTTTTTTCAGGCACAGATCTGCAGTGGCTCCAAGAACAGCTATAAAGAGTTAAAATTCACGTTGTATCATACTGAAAATATGAGGTCTAGCTCTCTTACCACTATTGATAGTCTGAGCAAATTCTCTGATTGACTTGGAGTCAGACAGGTCAAGTTTTTTGGTGACCACACTCTGATTTCCAGATGCTTCGATGACCTCTTTCAATGCTGCATCAGCTTTCTCCATATCCCTGCAAGCCATGATGATTCGTGCACCTGGAAATGGGAATGAGATTTTACTAACTGTCTTTGTGACACAAATTACAAAGCATAACAATCCTTCAATGACTGAACTAATGATACACTACATTATAAAATCTCCAGATTGAGTTCATGGTACATTGTTGGGTAAACTGAAGTGCTGGTAAATAGTGAACTTAAACTGTTCTTAAACCATTACACAGGAATCAATAAGTTGGCCAACAGGTGGTTTACCTCTCTTTGCCAAATCAATGGCAGTTTCTTTACCAATTCCAGTATTGGCTCCAGTAATAATAACAGTTTTGCCGTCCAGCTTTACATTAGATGACCACGGTCGAAAAAAGTTTCTGTGGGGAAAATATCGGCGACGTTTTTATTGATTAAGTCAATGAATCAACACAGAGTAAAACAATTTAAGCACTTAATCTCTGGTATAACCCATCATAAAGCTACATGCATGTAAATGCTATTCATAGAAATCAGATAGACTATAATAAACAGGTTATTAGCCTCATCTCCCTTCCCGCTTTCAGATAACAGATTCTCGAGAAGAGCAGGTTCCAGTGTAAAGTACAGCACGATAACACGTATTCATACCTCAGTCCTTGCATGTCCACGACGTGCAAACAGTCGATTTATGACAGAAACAAAAAATACAAAATACACAGCTCGGTCTAGTCCTGAAACTAGCAAGTACGGAATGTGAGAAACGCTAGCTACGTAAACAGGAAACCGAATGACTGGCTCTCGTTCATTGGTTGGAGCTTCCCAGGAGATCCAAACGGGTTACTCAGGTTTTTAATTTCTACATTTGTGCGTTTAGGTCTTTACACCTCTACACGAGAAAGAAGATTACAGTGGTGTAAATAATTAATGGAGGGAAAAAACAAACACGGGTCATCTGATCTGACTTGATTTGCGAGGACCAGGCTGTGTTTTTACGCGTTTGCCACGAGAGGGCAGTAGTAGGTTCGTGTTTTTTTAAACGAGGGATGGGCGATTTCAGGTAATGTTAAAGTTGGTATCTAACGTCTGTGTGATTGGTACAGTGAAAACCAGTACAAAAAAGTGGACATTAAAAACACATTTGAAACCTTTTCCATCAGCATTAAATAAACCGCCACATTAACAGGCTGTTTATGTAGCAAACAATTGATCTGCCTTTAGAGTATTCACTGAATCACGTGGCTGTCTGTGTGCATGTGAGAACCGGAGAGGGTAGATAAAGAAGTAGCGCTTATTCAACATATTTCGCTATTTTATGCTTCACTGCATGCACAACTATGACCTTCATAATATCACTGCACATGAATACAAAAATGTAACCAAGGTTATTTCAACAATAAATAGTATTTTTCCTATTTAACAACAGTAAAACAGGGGGAAATAGGATTTGTTGTACATGTAAATTCCTTTTTACCACCCAAACAAATGGGTTAATAAAATGCACACTATTGTCATTAAACACAGTATTTCTGGCTTTATACTTTAAATAAACCTGTGGAATATTGACGTAGCATCACCCTTTAGGTGCAGTTCTGTTATCATATCAATACAACAAAGTAAGATATAGGATGAGTATGTCTGTTTAATATTTGTCTCTAAAAGTTGTTGTAGCAACACTAACCTCCCATTCCAACCATGTGAGTCACCGATTTTAATGATTATGATTACAAGATTAGCTATAACATTATAAACAGGTTGCACAACTTTGCAGAGCACATCTAGCACATACGTGCACTCTGAATTGCAAAGCTCTAGTGCAATTCCAATACATGCATATGCATTTCTATATCTACCAATAAGGTATTAATTAATCCATAAATCGCTTTGTTTTATATGATGTACAAACTCAAGAACTGCTGAATGTTCAGGGACTCAGCAGTGTTTTGAAGAGTGTTCACTGAGGCAGATTCCAGAAGCACAGACAATATTAAATAAATGCACATGCACGGAGACTATGCTGGACTTTATTTCTCTTAAAGGAAAATAAGGCAATGGAGATGCTGGCATTGGCATTTAGAGCAAAAGGCTATTCTCCTTTTCACAGGTCAGCAAAAGCAACAGCTTCTACTTACAAAACGGACAATTTCAACACAAACACAAGGAGAGAGAAAAAATACATTTGGCTCAAACTGAAACAGAACAGTGCTGAGAAAGATACAAGCAACTGCCAACTCAACTGCAGCATCTACACTGATTAGATAGTCAAGAGTGTGTGTTGCATCAAAAATGGGACAGGATAAGACAAACAACCACATGGAAATATGGAGAAAAATGTCACTGGGTGTGAGATATAGGGGGTGGTGTTACATTGCTGATCTCTGAGTGGTCCCAATCATCATTTTAGGAAAAGAATAAACAGGATTTCAACAATGCAAGTGATAAAAAAGTGTTAAGATTAGCGTTTGAGATTCCTCAAATTGACAATGCAATACATTTTACAGAGGACTCACCAGAGTGCATCACTAAGGCACTTGAGTGTGTGAGAAAGCAGAAGAATCATAAGGAAACTATCAGTGGAGATGCAAAGACATTTAAAGAAGTTGCTGGAATCTTAAGCATTTAACATTCAGAGGATTTTGGAGTGAGGTAGGTTTCACACACACACACACACACACACACACACACACACACATACATATATATATGAAAATGAAGTGCTATTTCATTTTTGGTAAAAAGCACAACAGCACTGACATGAGTTTTAATGTGTGGTGAACTGGTAATGCAAAACTCATACCTTAATGGCATGATTTCGGCAGGTGTAACATTTTGTCACAACAGTGTCAGTAACCTGAGTTGTAGTAATAACAGCTGGCAGTTTGAGAGCTTGGCTGAGTCAGCAAATCAGTGGACATGACAAACTGGTAACAAATAACTCAAAAGCAAATTTAAGAGTAGGAGATTCATCCTTGTGCCCGCGTTCAGCAGAAAACATGCAAAATGCCAGTCAACATTCATCTTTTCTCCTGTGGGGAAAATGTGAAAAGAGAAAGTTGAAAACTTGAAACAAGTCATAAAAGGGTTTTGTTGTGTTTTAAAGCATGGAGCTGCAGTTAATGGGAGTTTCCTTTTAACCCCAGAAAGTTTACAGCACAGTAACAGCATACAGAAAAACAAAATCAAAGGAAAAAGGTACATAACATTTTTGGTTAAAAGGAGCAATGGATTGATGAAAACTGGCAGACTAGAAACTGGCAGTAGACAATACTCTAGTTTATTCACTATGTGAACTTGGTAACTTTTCTTCAAAACAAACCTCACTAAAAATGTTTGCACACGGACCCCCCAAAAAAACAAAAAAAAAAAAAAAAAACTATAAATTCAAATTCTGTAAGTGTAGCAACAGTGATATAATCGAGTCACTGTTAAATATGCAATCACTTTGAATTCATCGTTATTTCACCATGTTTTGCATTTACTACTTTCTACACCATAATTTTTTCATTGTCTCTGATAAAATTGCAGTAGATCCAAAACATACTCTTAAAGAACCTACAAACTGAGTACAAACAGAATCGTTAAGCAAAAACCCAATGTATAAACAGATTCTTCCTAATTGTTAACCATTACTTCAAATAAGACAATTATTCGGTAACTGGAAAGGTAGACAGATACTTTAACAATAGCAAACAACAGGCCAATCACCACCAAACGAAAACTACACATTATTTTGGAGACTGCAGAGACTTCTCTCTTACCCATTAAGGTGCATTGAGCTCTGCAGATCAGAGTGCAGCCTCTCTTTCCTCCTCTTCATCAGCGTTGGCGGAGTGGAACTCTGCCACGTACAGGCTCTTATCTATGGAGCCAGGAATTGGCTTAATGTCAGTCACCAACTGCTCCTCAATGGCCTTTAGACTAAAACGATCATCTGATGTGATCAGATTAATGGCCAGGCCCAGGTGCCCATACCTGCCTAGAGAGAAAACAGAGAACAGAACTTTCTAAAATCACTGAACCAAAAGGAGGCTCACTGTCTCAAACATGACCGTGGTATCAAATAAATGTTTTATTTGAAACTATAATTACAATTTTAGTTTACTCTAGATGGTGTGTTTACAATTGTATATAAAAAGAACAAAAACCTGGTACAATGTTGTGAAATGTTCAAAATGCATTTTAAACAACTTCAATCTCTCATATGGCACTGCATTAAAAACCAGCATGCTTCTATGATGGATATCACCACTTAAGCTCAGGAATGCATTGTCAATAAACACCATTCCTCGCTGCATCCACAAATGCAAGTTAAGACTGTACTATGCAACTCGGAAGCCATTTTCAACAACATTCAGAAACACTGCCTTCTGTGGGCTTAGGTTCATCTGCCAAGGACTGATGCACAGAGGAAATATCTACTGTGGTCTGATGAGACTTTCAAATTGTTTATAAACATAAGGCACACACTGTACTCAGAGTCAAAGAAAAAACATCCAGACTTGACCACCATAAAGCCAGAATCTGTTACGATATGGAGGTGTATTACAGCTCATGGGTAACTTGCACATCTTGAGGCACCATTAACCATTGAAGATATATAAACGGAGCCACATATGGTGCGTCGAGAGAAGTTACATGTTGTTGTATGCTTATCACAGAAAAGTGTTGTCACATCCAATTTTCCTGTGGCCTCTTGGGCCTTTTAAAGAGTTTATTTATTGCAGGAATTCAAAAAGTTAAGAGTACTCAAAATTGAAGAATCTTTAAATTGTGCAGTAAACTTGTAAACTTTACCCAAACTGGTCCAGTTGTAGGGCACATACCTGATCTACCAATGCGGTGTAAGTAGGTCTCTGCATTTTTGGGAAAGTCAAAGTTGATCACCACATTGACAGCCTGGATGTCAATTCCTCTTGTGAAAAGATCTGCACCATAACATAAAATGGTAGATCATGAAAATGTTAAAACACACACACACACACGCACACAGGCATGCACACGCGCACACACGCATCCCAAATTAATATGCAGAGTGTAGTTTTAATACCTGTGCATACCAGGTTCCTACACAGGCCATTTCTGAAGTCATGGAACACACGATTTCTGTACTCCTGGAACATAATAATACTTTTAGAATGTTCAGAGACAGACTGCATAAACATTTATTGCAATATTTCTGGAGGTATGAGGAAAACATAAGATCTCCACTCCCCTTTGTACTGAAAATTACCTGCATCATTTTTGCATGGATGTAAAAACAGGAGTAGCCCAACTGTGTGATCTTCTTAGCCAAAAGTTCTACTCTCTGGGTGGAGTTACAGAAGATGATTGACTGATTGATCTGGAGCTAAAAGTGAGAACATAAGGGGTCTTAAATAAATGAAATACAGATAATTACATCTCCGCAGTGCGGCCTGCTAGTGGGATAAAATGACAAAAACACCTGGTTATTTCTCTCAGTTGTTCAGTTGGTGACGTAAAAAAACGTGCTCAACTTCAGCTCTGAGAACCGAAAATGCATGGTTTCTCAGGCATCACAGGATTTTACCTAGTTAATTATCAATGACTCCTTGAGTTGTTAGGGCAGAAAACACAGAACAGTGACAAATGCTGTACCAGACAAGGCACAAGTAATAAGAAAAAAACTGAAGTGTTTTAGTTTGCCTTCCTACCCTGGAGAAGAGAGTGTTGAGACAGTGCACTTTCTGTCTCTCTGTGACATAGGCATAGTACTGAGTTATGCCTTTCAGAGTCAACTCGTCCATCAGGTTAATCTCATAGGGCTTTCGGAGATGTTTAGCCTGCATGGGACAAAAGTAACAAAAAGAGAAGGGATAAGCAGATGCAGGAAAAACAGGTTGAAGACATTTGATACAAGTATTTGTTCAAAATGAATTCAGATGTTTAAGTCAGTGGGAACCGGAGGAGGGGAGAACAGGGTTGGCGGCAGCAAAACGCTATTCCACAAAAAACCTAAAACAATCAAGTTAAAATAGGTGCACAAGAAAAAACACCTTACAAACCTGCAATCAATACTGCATTATTCTCCATTTTTCCATGATCAGTTATCCTACTGTACAGTAGGAAAACCCACCTACACTTCGCAATTATTTGAAATTTTGGAAAGGGGAGGGGTGGCGCGATTAGCTGGATTTTATAATTGCTGAAGAAATGGCTAGATCTACTACCTATATATAGGTGTCTGACAATCATTCAACATTAACTTTCATTCTCAAGACAACCTTTTTGGATCTCCTTTCATTACACTTTATTCTCTTACCATAAATTTTTGTACACTGATGGGAAAGGTGGCAGAGTAGAGCAGAATCTGCCGATTCTTGTCCAGAAAGCTAATGATTTCCTCAATGAGCATGACAAAGTCTTGAGAGAGCAACTTATCTGCCTAAGGAAGAAGTCACAATGATAAAGAAAACACTCACATGACAAAACACGTACAATACATTTTTCACATGACATTACATTGTTCATATAGATACAGATTTGGTGGACATCAATTCAAATTCAATATTAGTACTCTATACTTTGACAGGTGTCTGACACTAAGGCTATCTGATGTTCATGCTACACAGAGGCAGATTCTCAGGTGACTGGAAAGAAAGAAAGAAATTATATATTATATACACACACACACGACTATGATTCAAGACAATTAATTTTAGAACTATATTAATACAGTCTATAACTATTCAAGACTCAGGGCAATTGGCACGATGTTTCAACACTTTGACAGTCTTATTAACAAACAAACGAGCAAAAACAAACTCACCTCATCCATTACCATCATTTGGACTTTGCCAACTTTGGCCACACCTTTCTTTATAAGGTCTAGGATCCTGCCTGGAGTGGCCATCACAACATGCACTAAGGAAAAGTAAAGAATGATTCAAAAGATGTGATGGTACACCCTGACGATACTAGAGCAGGTAAAATGCAGTTATCTGAATTATTTGAAGTTGTACTAACCTGTGTCATCCAGGCGCATGATATCATCTTTCAGGTTGGTGCCACCAGTGGTAGCCATGATCTTGACTCCACCTAGGTGCTTGCTCATGTTGATACTGATCTGGCTCACCTGTAGAGCCAATTCACGAGTTGGCACCATTACTATGGCTAGAGAATGTACAAGAGTGAAAGTGTGAGTGAATGTTGTAAAAAATCAGATGACATTTCATGTCCAGAGCAAAACGTTACTTCAAAAGACAGTGACTTAAACAAATACACAGGTATATCACCAGAAGAACAGTTACTACACCTTCATTTTTCAGTAAAATTTAATCTAATGAAAAAGTAGCAGACAATATGCAATAAGCAGATTTAGAGACATTAAGAGATTGTCATAAACCAAACACTTGCTGTGACAGAGTCATTCAAAGCATAGTCAATAATTACCTGCAATCCTGTGTAAAGAAGTCACATAAGATACAGCAAAACAGCAAAGAAAAGCCATGTTTTTGGTAACGCAATCCGTATCACCCCCAAAAACACTAATCAGTCCATCTCTACACTACCAAATCTGACAACACCAAATGAATCTGATGATACTGTTGTTGATCATTTTGAGACCAATTTTGTAAGCCAAAACTGAACCACCATTTGCAATGGGGTCACAGGCATTAATTAATTAACTAACAAATTAATTAATTAAGTATGTAAGTATAATAATATAAATAGCAATAATAGTATGAAAATACATAAAAACACAGACAAAACTGTCACCTTTGAAGCACCCTTACCTTGAATGTGATCCTTCTTTAAGTCTATCCTCTCTAGGAGAGGAATGAGGTAGGCTCCGCTCTTCCCCGTGCCATTCTTGGCCCGGGCTAGAATGTCTCTCCCTGACAGGGCTATGGGAATGCTTTCCTCCTTCAAATATTCAAATACAAGTGGAATGAGCAAATAACCCAGAAAATCAACAATCAGTTGATCTATTGTAACCCAAAGGTTCTAAACATAAGCAGAGCAATATCAGTGACATTAGTACTGTTTTATCATAATCATTTTATTCGACAAGGGTGAAAATTAGCTCATCTGTTAGTAGTCAACGAGTAAAGTATCTCTGACAGATTTATGTTCTCTAAATTCCATGCATTGTTGCTAGCTGTGATATTAACACTTGAAATTCAAGGCCACTGCATGGGTAACTGACTTGAACTTGATTCTGACCCTCAGTCAAATTAATCGAAATAATATGCAGAAGAATTCGAACCTGTAACTCAAAGATATTCTTCTTATTGTGTAACCCAACATAGGCTGAAAATGTGAAGAGGTAAAAATGACCAAATTCAGTTCAAAGTTGCTCACATGACTACTGACCTCAGAAGCAAGACTTGCAAGTGTCTGTCCACCTACCAAAAGCTTATAACTGATTTTATTCAAAAATTTGTTGGCCTAGTGGCAAATTTCACGGCACTTGGTTTAGTCAGGATGGTCTACCTGGATAGGTGAGGGCTTCTCCCAACCCATTTCAAAGATGCCCATCAACAATTCACGCTTAAGGCAGTAGTCTTCAAACTCATTCCCCTTGGTTGCAGTCACATCCTGAAAAAGAAAACAAATGAGTTAATATGAAACTTCATCATGAGGGAAAATAAGCATGAGCTTTCTTGATTGTTTTTGCTTAGGGACAGTGATATCATATATACCCAGATAAAACAGTGGCTAAGACAACATACAGGACTGTGTTCTTCAAAAACACAAAATACCACATCAAATTACGTTTTGTTGATTTTCTAAGTGAAAATAAGTATTTATCCTGAAAAAAAAGCAAAATGCTGTTTATTTGCTGAATTTTACATATTGAGTAAAAAATTAAACAAAAGTCATGGCACATTTTATATTTTAGGTTTCAATTCTTCACACCAGTATGTTAACTTAGCAAAAACAAAAACTGGGCACTTTTTTTTTATTTGTGTGTTAGGTATTTTTTACATTAGCTATGCAAGTTTTTCCTCACATCCATAAATTTGCACTGATTTTCAGATCAAGTCATCTAATTACTAGTTTATCCCATATCACTTGGTTTCAATGTAAAATGTGGGTACATTGTGCACAGCCATTTTCCCTGCTCTTAGAAAATTTTATATTTCTTAAATTTTGCTGTCTGAATCGAATACAGTTGTAAAATAAAAAGAAGTGAATCTGATGTCATTACCCTTCTGAGTATTTAAAAACAGCAACTCTACACAAGCATGTGCTTCCCCTCCTCCTCATACTGTCATCCAGAATCAAAGGTTGTAAAACAGTAATGTGAATCTTCCTTCTTACCGAGGTTTTCACTCTCAGGTCTTTTGGTGGGAGCTGCAGGCACTTTTTCCAATCATCTCCAAATCTGGAAAAAAGATTCAATATTTTTAGGACGACTGACAAAAAAATGTAGGTAAATAACCACCTTGGTTAAAAAGAATACTTACTCATAAACTATTATTATTATTATTATGATTTGCATTTATTTTAAAAATTACTAATATTACATCTTCTGAAGCATCCTTTGAAGCTTACTTGATTCCACCGCTCGTCTGTGGTATGCTGCTTCCTTTATGGGGAGCACTGAGTGCTTTTCCTGGTTGTGTCAATCCAGTGACAGATCCTGACTGGAGGCCCATTGGCTTGGGCTGTCCATTCTGTTTGGTCAGTCCCATGACTGAAGCAGGGATCTCTGTTCTTGCAGTAGCCATTGCTATAGGTAAGTATAATGGTCTGGGGTTTTCTGCAGATCTCTTCTAGGCTGTTGTATTTATCCTTTACCTTCACTGCATCTGTCAAATTCAGTGCCCTACTGTGTAAACACTTCTATTTTGTACCTGTCTAGCTCGTATGTGCAGACCTCTTGAAAAGAAGAGGGGCTAACACATGACAATAGTCTATAAGAAACTCTCCCAAAACAGGAGAAAAATGAATTTATATGAATAAATATAACTTGTTGCCACTGTTAATATACAGAACCAATTAAATTTGTCTTGTGTGAAAGCACAATAATGCCTTAATTATACCTGAAGATTTTTTTTAATTCTTCCTTCTGTTTTAAACTGACTTCCAATGTTTCATATTACTGTGTATTTCCCTTACGAGTTATATTATCTCCAGTACTGCTATTGGATACTGGTGCTTAAGAGCCTTTTACATTTAGAAATGCTGCTTTCATGTTATGGTCCTCAGGACTTCCATAAAATTCTTGGTATTTCCTAATCTCTATGAGGAATTTCAAACCAAGATGTTTCCACTGAACCAGCACTGCGACACCGAAATTCAATACAAAGTCAATCCAGAATTAATCCAATTCTTCCTTTTATAAATCAAGTCCTTTGTCTCCTCTCTTGCTAGTTGACTCCCTGAACACTGCAGTGATGGAACTCCTGGAAGTCTGCCACCTTGAAAACATGGGATAATGTATTAGCTAGTATTCAAACAATAATAATAATCAATAAGGGTTAGTGAAAAAAAGCAACGACAATCAGAAAAAAAAAAACAGAACAATTGGAGATAAAACTTCTGGAATTTGAATGACGTAAAGAAAACATGGACCTTTAAAGAAGAAATCCAGCGTCAAATTTCACCTATTGTAATGTCATTTGGTTTTATGAAAATAGACTGTGTACATCCACTCTAAATAAGCTGTATGTCTCCACTCCAAATGTACCTGTTTAGCTCATAAGTGCTGACCTCTTGAAAAGAAGAGGGGCTAACATGACAACAGTTTATAAGCAACTCTCCCAACAACACAAGGTAGCCATGACCAGTCTGTGAGAACAGAACTGTGGAGTCACTTATAGTTACATGGAGGCTATGAGATGGAAAATGATGATGAGTTGACAAATTCTGTCATTCCAGTTATCATCTAGAATTATTTTTACATCTTTGACATCTTTAACTTCATTGTATAGTAAAAACCCCTGTTTCTTTCAAGTTCTGTTTAAAATTCAGAACCTCCTCTACTCAGGTCAAACGAGGGCCACGGGCATCTCACCTATAGTTGAGTACAACTAGCATATCCAGTACACAAACAATATCAGCATAACAGGGCCATGGTTGTGGTTGAAACCACGCATTTCCACACTGTTTAGCACAGTCACTGAAAACCATAAAACTTACAAAGCCCAAGAAAAATCAATCCAGCAGTGCTACACTGACTATCAACAAAACAACCAGTTAGTTAGCTAACCTAGCTAATCCAACACCACTAGGTCCAGATACGGACCCCACAAACTCCAAGCTAACGTTACTGTTAAAGTTGCTAAAAAGCAGCACACCACCGAAAACCGTTATACAGACAATGTTAGTCAGAAAAGTTTCCGTTTAATTGCTGTTACCAGACAATGTAGGTGTGGGATTACAGCTAACCTAGGTACGATAACGTTGGCGTCCGTAGTGGCAACATTGTTAGCTCAGCCGAAAAAAGCCCTCAAAACTCAACTTCATGGCGGTCAAACTAAAACTGCATACCATGTAACGTTAATGATCCATCATCAAACACATCAGATTATTTTCTAAAATCATGATAAACTAGCTAGCTACTTAGTTAACATTACAAAGCTTTACTACACAGTAAGCACCAAATATTAGGTTATAGCAATTTTTATTTAGCTAGCTAGCTAACAGCTAGCTGACTAACTTTAGTTAGTTAGCTAGGTCAACTTAGCCAGTTAGCAAGCCGGAGACAATGATCAGTGCAGCAGGTTGACGACTCCTCATACTTAACAGTACGTCAGGCGTGTTAACTCACCTTCCAGTTCCCAATTCGAAGGATTTAAGAGGTCTTCGCTGAATCAATAAACACAAGCCTTCTCTTTACGCTTGAGAAACACTTTGTTGCTGTAGCTTCACTTTAACTCCGTCCTTTTGTCTCTTCCGCTCTGAATTTAGTAAGTAAATATGGCCGCGCTTCGAAAAGTTCGACACATCAGTGACGCGTGACTCCGACAGCCAATCAGGCTGCAGGATTTCAAACTCTGAAAGACAGCGCAGCCCTTCACACGCAGCTGCTGCGGCACAGTAACGGAAAGGCGCTTCGGTTTACCGACCCGATTCCAGCAGACGATGTTTATTTTTCGAGTTTAATCTCTAATTTGAATACCACATTAGATACTCTGAACAATTTCCTATAAGGTTTCTGCCCCATAGTAGAATAGCTCACAGCTATGTTAAATAAATGGGAAAAAGTGGGGTTGTAGATGTACTTGAGATTTCATTCAGCCATCTCTGTTTAAAACCCCTTAGAATATTAAGTGTTTCTGTTGGTTCCTGATGGTTTTGTAAAGTGTTTTGGCTTTTTAATGGGTTGATATTACAATGCAAAGGATCCTAATAACTGTGTGTTGAACTGTGGTAAAACACCAATGTTAAATAATAATTTGATTTGTTATAATAATGATAACAACAAACATTTCTTCCACCAAAATGCAGTTCATTAACAGCACAACAGGAAATGGTTGCCTAGCAAGTCAAAGACTATTCTGTTGAGGGGCTGTTCACACCTTGCATCAACCTGCGTTTTTGGTGAAAGGATCATGTTGTGTCAAGCCATATGTGAACACCTCCAGGAAACTTTGTGAGAGGATTAGGATTGGATCACTGAAACCTCAGAGGTGATCAGAGATGAATCATACATGGACAATTACGGAAGTAGAAATGTGTCTGCCAAGCATGGATTAGCAGGTGAGAGAATAAACAAGATTTGGTGATATTAATTTATTGATTTTTCTTGTGAAATTCTGTATTCACAAATGCAAGTTCATTAACAGGGGCCTGTTTTCACAGTCTACATCTTGGAATCCAAATACACACACCAAACACATGCCCCTGGCGACAACGTCTGTCACCGGCAGTGCGAATCGGAGTGGCGGAGCTCCTCAGCATATCCCACTCCCAGTGCGGTGTCCTCCACTGACCCTGGCAGACAGCTGAACACCTGTTTCGCGGGCATCCTGAGCTTGCAGCCGAACATCACAAGAGTTAAGTTGAACCTCGTAGACTCCTGCACAGTGGAGCAGCACACCAGCAGGACCAGGGGTAGGTATTGGTCCCAGTCACGCTGGTGCTGGGTGGTGACTTTGATGAGCTGAGTGGTGTGTGTGGAGCAGCATAGTCTGAGTCTTTTAAATGCCCAGCTGGTTACAGACCTCAGCCATGACTGCTCGAAGTTGCATTCCCAGTCACTGTGGAGTTTCTTCTGGCACCCTGAACTGGCAGAACTCCTCAACTAGCCGCTCCATCATTGTAGCCCCACTCTGGTCTGGGACTGCATGTGCCTAAGGCAATTTTGTGAAATAATTCATGGCCGCGAGGACATAGTGGTTCCTGGTGTTGGTGGTGGGTAAGGGGCCCAGAGCATTCACAGCGATCCTCTCTATCGCTGCACTGGAGCAGAGTGACAGAAGCAGGGCATGTGACTGGTGTGGTGGTTCTTTCTTTGCCGTGCAGAGGTTGCAACAGTGCACACAGAGAAGGGTGTAAATGATGCAGCCCCTTCACGACCGCCAGCAGCTCTCTGCTCGTCACACAGTAGTTGCACTCTAGCTTACTCAGGTGCACAGCCTATAAATGCAATGACATTCACAGTTCTGTCCTGTACCTGTGAGAGGACGGCACTGATGCCCTTATTGCTGGCATCTGTGTCCATGAAAAACTCACTGCCTGTCTTGGGAGATGCCAGTACTGGCACCTCACACAGTTGAGCACACCTTCTTCATCCCATTGAAAGGTATCACACTGTTCAGTGAGTCTGTGTAACGGTGCAGCTATGTCAGCAAACTCACACATAAATGTCACGTATGAAGCCAAACCCAGGAAGCTTCACAACTCACCGCCACAGTCAGTGTGAACGCCAACTTTTTTTTGGCATCCTTTTCTTTGCCATCTGCCAATATCTCCGCAAGTCCAGCAAGCTGAACCATGTGGAGCCGGTGTGCTGATCCAAGGTGTCATCAATGCGCAGGAGTGTTTACAAGTCGTGCTTTGTGACAGCACTGAGCCACCAATAGTCCATGCAGAAATGCCAGCTGTTAGCCTTTTCCTTCACTACGGTCCAAGTATAGTGCTCGTCTGTGGCTGTAAAGATGTCGCTGTAATGGCACAGAAGCTCCCACAGCTGCTGTTTTAGCTCCTTTGTTGAGCTCGATCCCATTCAATGCCACAACTCACGTACTACTTCCAGTGTCGCTTGACTCACTGCTGCTGCCCTCCACACCTTCTGCTTCCTTTTCCCCCGCTGCACCATCAATGCCAACAAGGGTGCTGCTTATGTGCATCCCATGACCCTCAGAGATCCATCCACCAGCACTAGCATGGCATGTTCAGCTCCTCCCATACTGGCGGCTGTGGTGCCCTCGACCTGACAGCACACCCCGTCCCCTGGGTTCCGTCCACTGGGTCTGGCACTGTGTGTTCAGCTCCTCCAATGCTGGCGGTTTCCCCTGCCACACTGCCAGGGAGCCCCAACTCTCTGCCTCAACCCTGCTGCTGGCCGCTGCACACAGCTTCACTTGTCTCTTCTTTAGAGCCAGCGTTTCCTTCTTGAGGTCATCCTGTACGGCCAGGAGCCAGAACTCAGCTCAAATCTCCCCAGGATGACCAAGAGTCATTTTCTCCCCTGCATGTTGCCTTGCCTGCTGGATATAGACTTGATTTGGATGGTTGTTGCCTCCCAGCCGTCAGGTGTGTCATTCTTGGTGTGCAGGATCATGCCTGCTTAAAGCAGGGATGGTGACGATCGATGAGAGCGGAGAGCTGTTCCCCGTCTATGCTGCACTTGACCTAAAGTCTGTGGCGGCAGCTGATCTTCCCGGCAGTGGCGTTGACTGTGGGTTGTTCTCTCTAGGGAATTGTGTTACTCGCCTCGGTGTCTTTTCGCTGAGGATGAGTTCCATTCTCTGGCTAGTACACTGAGATGCACGTGCCTTCTCAGTCCCTCTGGCAGCAGCACGTTCAGAAATGCTCCAGCAGCAGCTCCTTCTATGCTGCCTTCTCAAACGCCGGGTATGACTGCCAAAACATCATGCTCAGTTCCGCCGCCAGCATGCTCATCTGCTCTCCCTTTAGGCTCCGGAGTTTCCTGATGGACAGCAGCAAAATGCCGCTGGAGAGCTATGGTCAGTGGCACTAGGTTGTCACTTTGTTCTGTCAGCAGGTCCACAAGCACCTGTAGAGCTTTCCCTTCCGGTGCCAGACACCCAAGAGGAAATGGTTACGGATATGTTGCCCGATGCCCGAGTCATGTTTTAACGATAGTTGTATTAGAAGGTTTTAAAAAGACTTTCATAAGACTTTTGAAAATAAGATCACTGGTCCTTTTGAATAGCAAATAATAAAGCTATTCAGAGCTATTCTGTTTAATTTATCTTATTTAGTGTTGTTTCAAAGACTGCAACGTAACCTAAAGGAAGCTTTGTGTTTAGCTGCCCAGAATGGCTTGGATAGAGTTTAACAATGCTTTACATGAACTGATAAAGGTGAAAAAATAACTAATAAACCTGTTTGTTTACTTTGGGGAATACAGAGACACCTTAATGATGACTTCTCGACTGTTTTCATTTTTTGTTCATTCACGTAAATTGATTTAAAATATAAGTAATAATAATAAACATGTGTTAAATCGATTATGCTTGCATTGATTTTGCCTTAGTTTATGTCAGTATTATCATAGTAATTGGGATTGTTTGAATTAGACTATCAGCAAGAATGGGGATGTGGATGGGAGGGACTAACAGTAACTACAGACTGAGAAAATGTTAATGGAATGTTAAAGTAACATTAAAAAAATCTGAACTTTTGACGCTGTGTACTGCTGGCTGCACAAAAATATCGGGAAGATGTTTTAGGGTATGTTTTACTAACTTGCACCGAATGTCCTAAGAAAATTAAGAAAACTGGAACTATAAACCTTTGAAGAACGTTTAAAGATAACATTCCAGGAATGTTCAGTGGTCAATGTATATAAAGCTGAGGTAATAATCTGGGGCAGTGGTTTAAGAAACATGTTATGGAAACACTAAAATGGCCTTTTTTTAATTTAGCAAAAAATATCATCATAATTAGATGTTATAGGAATGTTTTAACATTCTTAGAACATTGCAAGACCACATTCCTAGAACATTAAATTGATGCCAATGAGGTTGGGTTGACGTTTAGGGAACATTCTTGTAACCTGAATGTTTTAACATAACTTTGAATGTTGTCAGAACGTTCCAAGACAACGTTCCTAGAATGTTAAACTGTTGTTGCAAATGAGGTTGAGGTGACGTTCTGGGAACATTCACATAACTTAAGAAAACGTTCTGAGAACATTAAGAAAACTGCACAGAATAACATTGAGGGAACGTTCCAATAAAACGTTTATACAACCAAAATGTTAGAGGAACATTTAGAGAACATAATTTTGAACGTTGTCAGAACGTTCCAGGACAGCGTTCCTAGAATGTTAAATAATTGTTGCAAATATGGTTGAGGTGATGTTCTAGGAACGTTTTCATAACTTATACAGAACGTTCTGAGAACATTAAGAAAACTGGACAAAATAACGTTGAGGGAACATTCCAATGCAACGTTCCCACAACCAAAATGCAACGTTAGGGGAACGTTCTGAGAACGTAATTTTGTTAGCTGGGTTGCGATTTAGGTTGGTTTTTCTGAGAGTACTTGTAGGGGGTGAAAAGGATTTCTCAATTGAAAATGAAATATTTGCTGAAAAAGCTTGCATGTATCATAACCATAGCTCGTGACAACAGATTATTTGTGTTTTAATACCTACTTTGATGCCTAAATTCTCAGTTGAGAGCTGTGAACAAAGTCTACAAAGTAATATACAGCGCCATCTGCTGGACAAAAGAATCAAACGCTTTAATCTTGAAGCAGGCTCTATGACAAAAAGGTCAAAAACGTGGACGTTACTAAAATGGGTCTACCTTTGGTCGTCAGCGCAGCTTCCAGCTAAAATATTTCGATAAGCACACACTTGTTTGTTTAGTTGTTTGATTTTAACTTTGCTCTGGCTGAAGGCTGTGATAAATCAGCTTTCTAAAGATCTCAGCGCAGCTTTGTGTGTGACTCACCGAGTCAGAGAAATTTAAATGAGTTCTGTGGTCACTTTAGACTTTTGGTAAGTGTATTTATCAACTTCAGGATTTCCCAAATGTTTCACTGCCTAATGATCTATATATGGAGTAAAGAATTGTACTTGCTTTATCATTTAATGAGCATTGCATAACAATTCTTTAACATTTTTGGTTCTCTCTGTGACTCACAATTTGGGCATCCATCCGTAAGCTCTCTTTCACAATTGTCTTCTTAAATGTTGCAAACTGTCCTGAAACTGAATAGTTAAAGTGATGTAAAACCTAAAAGGAAATTTTGCTGGACTTTTTAGAATAATTTCCTGATGGCTGTTTCCAAAAAGTCTACGGAAATGTAGAACACAAAAACAGATCACTGTTATTTTAGTTATTTACAATTGAACTTCCAGTCATTCTGAAAGATTTGCCCCTCTGAGTTTTTGAACTGTATTTTACAATAGTTCTCAAACCAGGTGCCATGAGCCAGTGCAGTGGATTGTCAATAAAATTAGTGCTTTAATCTATAATTATATAATAAATTGGTCAAGTAATTAAGATTCTTATTGCAAAAAGTTTATGTGTTTACCTTCAACCAAAGATGACACTGTGGTATGGCCTTGCATTCTAAATAAACCATGTGAAGATAAAAACAACATTTTACATATATACATTTACAGGATAGCAACCACACAAAGAAGCAGTCTTCCACTGAGGTCCTAAAGGGGTCCTTGGGATACCCATGGTAGGAGAGGTGAGCCAGCAACTGGAAGGTCACAGGTTCAAATCTCAGAACTGGGCATAGTGAGGCAGCAGAATGTCAAATTTCCCTTGTAGGATTGATAAAGTACAACATAACATACTGTACAGGACTATACAAAAATGAGCAGATGGCTGTAGAGTTTCTATAGTCATTCTAGTAGGAAATTCCAGTAATTTATGGTAATATGCTACAAATCTGAAAATGAATTTAGAAATCCAAAACTACAAAAGACAGGTTTCTGATTTAAGTAACCTGGTAGAATAAGCAGTAAATATATGACTTACAGCAGTAGAGAAAAAAAACAAAGCAGCAAAAAAAGAGCTTAACAAGAAACACGAGAACAACAGAACAACAAAGAGACAGAAAAACAGGTGAAAATCTATAAAAAAAATTTATTTTCCATCTCAGTAATTGATGTTTTTATATTTACATATTCATTTCAGAGTTCATAACTACATGCACAAAAAGCTATTTCACAATCAGTAACTGTTATGGAGGGACTTTCCACTCGAATTACTGAAAAAGCGTCATTTTCAGTGACCTTAGAAACAGTGAGAATTCATAACATATTCACACCATTTCATAAATGATGCACCTTCACAGCTGTAACTTTAATAAATATATGAACAGTCAGTGCTTATTCATGTGGTAAAGAGTATGATTATACACAATGGACTTTTATGGATGAAACTACATTTCTTCTCTCAGACTAACAATGTTTTCAAAATGCAAACATTTATTAACCATAAATTATAGGCTACAGTGAAGAAAAAACATCTTGTAAGATGGGCCTGCCACATCTATTCATACTCCTTATTCACCATTATAAGCATTTGTTACTCATCACAGTGCAGAAGAAAATGCAACATGTGCAAGTATAGACAAAGCAGAAGGTTATAGTTGGTCATAATCAGCTTATGCCTTTTCCCTCACTGCTCACACTCATATTAGACATATCTGATTGGTCGCTGTTATGACTGGAGGGCCGTGACTGTGTGGCAATGGATGTTGGGGGTAGGCCGTGAGAAACAGGTGGCTCACTTCTTCCAAGACTAGCTGGTAAGAGGATCAACCGTGTGTCAGTGGGATAAGGATGTCTTTGCAAAGTAGCTGGATAGTAAGCAGTATGACCTGACAGAACATTAGCAGAAGGCATAAGGGTGTCATAGCGAGGTGTGGGGAAATAGGGAAAAGAATGAATAGACATTCCATAGTCTGCTCTGTTATCTGCTGCCATATCGTGAAATGTCCTTGGTCTCCTTTGTAAGTCATCTTTTTCCTGAGTTTCCGTTGGTGACTGGTTTCCTGACATGCTTTCACCAGACTGACTGTGTGGTGAGTGTATACGTGAAGCTAAAGGAGAGACAGAAGCACTTCGGTGAAGGTTGGGAGTGGCCAGTGGAGAATGGCTCAAGCTGTTTGGAGATGGAGCACCTAAACAAGGAAGAGAAAAATGTTTTATTACAGCACAGCAGAAATGTTCAGCTCAAAATGCCTATTAACCCACAAGTACATTTGTGTATTTTTGTTCTTTTGTTTTTATGAAGCTATGTACTTATATATTCTGTGGATGGTCCTAAGTGTAAATCCTGTAATCCACCAACATGGGGGAAATGGGCATGGGAGTGGGGATGTTCTGTGATTTTATGATAAGATACATGCCAACATATATGGCAAAAGACAATAAATAAATTGTTCACAAAAAAAAGTTGAGAAGAGAGACTGAGGGAAGGTGGCTGTGTTTGATGAACTGATGGTTGATGAGAATCATGAGAGGCTCTCACCATCTTTCCCACCTGATGTGTACAGCTAATAGATGTATGGCAATACTGCACAATTAACTGCATTTTAATCAGGACCATGATTTTTAGCTTCCTCAATTAAACATACAGTCATATGCAAAATTCAGTCAAATGACATTTTATTGTTAATTTAACACATGCTCTATAGGGAACATTTATATATAGGATTTTTTTCTGCAAATTGTGAACATTTTCTATTTATTTGCTAAGCCAAACATACTAGAAATAAAAATGTGCCATTACTTTTGCACAGGCCACATTTAATGTTTTTTTCTTCTAATATTATATTGACTAAATAAACAATTATTGTGCATTAAAATGTGCAGAAGTGCGTTTTGCGTACAGGATGTGTATTTATAATCACTATGAAAATCAACAAAACATGTAACTTGACCCGGGGTGGTCAAATTTTTGTATACAACTGTAACTGACTACCATATTGGTAGCTAGAGATAGCTAGTTGACATCAAATATAATTTTTAATTATCTAAAGTCCAATAATATGTTGATATACTTGTGTTTCTATCAAAACAAATCTGTGAGTGTAGTCTAATGCTTTTCTATGGAGGTATAAATCCTGTCCATTTGGCTGCACATTGTAGCGGCGTGTTTATTTATTTCTTTTTTAAGTCTAATTTTTCGCATTTAAAAGATATGGTCCATTAATGTGACTAAGGACTAGTCTTATTCTGATTTAAAGATTTATACATTTGAAAGAATGCAAGCTTATAGTGTAAGACGAAAAGTATGTTTTCTGGTAACCTCATTGATAAAACGCAATCATTGTTTCTGAATTGATGACTTCAGCGTCAAGTTATTGCATTTATCATTTTAGCTGTTACTGTGCAGCCCTAGAGAATAGCATATCTGGAACTCAAGTGGGAAGGCTCATAAGGTAAGCCTCTGAGAGACCACCAAGGGCTACTGAAGTATGCATTGTAGTCAGAACGACCAGCTGATTGTGCCAGGGCTACTCTATCTGCATATGACCTGTCTCTTTTCTACAGGGCACATGTTTGAAACAGGAATCAGAGTTGTTTGTGGAAGACTGTGTTTGACTGATAGAGGAACTATCAACATAAGTAAATAAAGTAGGTAGTGATATCACAGTTCTGGAAATGGTTTTTGAGTAAGGGAGAAATGAATGGTGCTACAATTTCGGTTCCTATTCCTATGACATTATATTACATCTTTAACTGTGTGATTTGGTGCTTTGTAAATAAGCGTATGTAAATGTGAGTATAAGCAAATATCTTACCATTGAAACTGTGCTGAGTTTTCAGAGTGTGGCCACGAGTAGTCTTCCCACGCAACACATCAGAAACCTGATCGAAAAAATCGGAAGTTAACCACGAAAAATAAAAAAACAAACACACTTTTAAAAAACTTAAAAACTAAAAAACACACTAACATTAATTAGTTTGTGTTAATTGTAATTTGTGCAAGAACTGTAATCCTTTAGTATAAACACTAAACTACATGGACCAACATGCTTGTAACTGCTGGTATTCACCACTAATGGGCAGCATTTCCATCCTACTTAGCTGATGGAAAATACATTTCTGTGGTTTACTTTCTTCAGATTTCATTAGAAAAGTAGGTACTAATAAAAGAAAGCAGAAGCAATCTAAATTAAGCAAGTGAAGTAATTTACATGTCATAAATTTTTCTTCAGAAGGCTCTAACATTAAAGATATCTAACCTTTCTAGTCAAGGCCTTCTTCTTTTCACTGCAATCCAGTCTCACTTTCTTACCTTCTTGTTTTTGGCCACCATGACGGCAGTGTCATTGTGGTAGTTCTTTAAACTGCTGTCAGCACCATTCTTCAGAAGTACTCTGACAGCTTCCACCTCGCCACGGCCACAGGCACTGTGGAGGGCTGTGTTACCACTGTATGACTGTGCATTCACATTACAGCCATTCTGAGAACAGAAGAGAGGAAATGTTCTGTTGTTAAAAGCTGTAGATAAAGGCTGCCTATACAGAGATAAATAGCACTTCAAAGATTTAAAACACAGATGAACTATTGCAAATTCACTTTTACGTAATTTGAAGTAGTACTGCCCTCAAATGTTGCTGTACTTGTACTTTGTAACTTGTAGCCCCGACAAAGAAACAAACAATTTGTGGAATCTACAATAAAATTAATCAATTACCATACTACAATAGAGGTATACAGAAATATACAACATACAACATATTGTCACTATCAGAATAAAACCTCATCAGTCATTTTTTTCTGTTTTTACGTGTTCTACATCATTTGAAAACACCAGCTACCTTTACATTGTGTGAACATTTTATGGCATATAGACAAATAAAATGGTCCAATATTAATTGGAATAAAATCCCATTGCATTAACTTAAATTAGAAATAAATGAATCATTTTGGAGATACAATATTTTGTTCCTACAGTGATGAACACAATCTGTGTTTTTTTGAAAGCTCCATCTGAGATCTTAACCCCCAACATCTTATATGATCCAAAAAAAAAAGGAAGAGACTTTGATTGTGACTTCAGCTAAATTTTGGTGGAAGGCTTGAGTCATAGGATGTTGACTCTGAAATACAACTGAAAACACAAGAACACACACCCACCAAAACACCATGGAAAACAGAGGCATAAATATGACCACACCTCAATGAGAAAGTTGACCATCTCCATACAGTTGTTCTCCACAGCATGTATCAGAGGACTGCGGCCACTCTTAATGTCCTGTGCATGGAGGAACGGGAAACAGATCAAACAAAAATAATCTTCTTTTTTCATGATTTTTTTTTTGGAAATAACAATGACACAGTGCATGGTTTGTGCATTGGGCAGCCTGGCACTTAGATAACAATACTGTTGCAACAAAAATATTTCATAACTCACATAACTTGAAACCATTCCTACAAATTGCAGTGACCACAACACCACAATTGCCACACTAGAGAGAATCATAGGCTTTTGTGTGGGGATACAGATAAGATGGACTTCACTGACCACTGCATTGATATCAGCTCCACTGTCCAGTAACATTTTGGCCAGCTTTTTATTTCCATCTTGAACAGCGAGGTGGAGCGGGGTCAAGCCTGAAATTCAACAGAATTTAACATACTATAAATAGGCTGCTACAACTAGGCACAGGCTTTTTGAAAGAAAAAAAAAAAACAATCTGGTAAAACACTCAAATCTAATAACCCACTCAATCAAGCTTGGACTGGCTTTCCTGAGTAAAACACAAATACACACACACAACCACACCCACACATGTTCACCCACAAGGCTCAGCTGTTCAGACCCTCTCTGTGTTTCTAGGGGCTTTCTGTACCTTGAGGTAGGAAAATTAAGATGACTAGGGCATGTCACTCAACAGGAATTACCCTGCCTGACCATTTCTCACCCATGACAGCATTAAAAAGATACACAATACTGACATTCAAAGCATAAATAAATAAATAAATAAATAAATAAATGAATGAATGAATGAATGAATGAATGAATAAATTTTTCACTTTTTAACTACAGTTTTAACTGTGTACATTTTGTTAATACGGTAGGCCTAAGACATTTCAGTAACACTTTACTGTTGGTCAGTGTTCATTCGGTTACAAGACACCTACATAAGCCCTTCGTGATAACTGACATAAACTTACATAAACATTTATAAACACTTAGGTTAATAGGTGCCATTTGTCATAAAGTTTGCATTTGCCAGCTTTGATGTCAAGTTCGTATAACATCTACGTCAGGTGACATTGACGTGTTTCTGACATTAGCTTGTGTCAAGACACTTTCTGGGGTGAAATGATAGACTTTGTAGTTCAGTGTGTTTCACACTGACACAACACACTGAGAATATGACAGAGCTTGCTGAGTCAGACTGGTGAGCATTTTCTGTGGCCCTTAGATAAAAAGAATTTCATTTTACCATTTATGACATTTACACTATGTCACAGTGCATTATGTTACTGTAATATACACTAAGCTACAAAGTCAGCTGTAACATGCTTTGTCATAACAACCTTATGTCTGAAAAAAAAAAATGATGTCACCTATCAATTTAACATCAAAGTTCACAAAATCAGCCTTTATGACAAATGATGCTTACATTTAGCCTTTATAAATGTTTATGTAGGGTTATGTCAGTTGTCATGATGTCATGATATGCACGTGTCCTTTAGCATTATGTGTTACTGACATTGCCATAGGCCACTGTGTGCACTGCAAAACATGCTGCAGGCCATGTTACTGGCTCACACTATTCACAAAGTCATGGTTAAGCACATGAGCTGAGTGTGAAACAGGCCCACCTAACCCTCACAAGCACACACATCTGCACACAAGCATACACCCAAGTACTTCCTTTTAACTAGATTGAATTTCTACCTAGGTCATTCTTCTCTAATAACATTAGCTCATAGATCATACTCCTCACCATTACAGAGATGCCAAAAGATCATTAATACAAATCTTAAACTTCAATACTATAATAAGGTTTAACTCATTAAACCCTAAGTGCCTATATGTGGGTCCACACTTCAATTCCCCACTCTCATAACCTACATTAGTTTCATAGTAGTTACAGATTAATTCAGGATAATGTATAGTAAATGATAATACTTATGAATTATAATGTAATTGTAAGCCTAGAGAATATAGCATGAAAACAATGTGTCAGGCTTAACTATGTTTCACTGTACTAAAACAAAGCACATATATAGTTTTGTTTTGTGGCCTCAGCATGGTAGATGTCTTTTTTTGATTCAGTTAAGCTGCATACTCACCTTCATAGTTCCTGCTGTCCAGGAAGGCAGAGGGGCAGCACGGGGAGTGGGCAAGGTGGGCCAGAATTACAGACAGGCACCTGTCCTGGCTGTGTTCACAACAAAGATGCAGTGCGTTCTGACCATTACGGTCCAGTGCTCCAGGGTCAGCTCCACCCTGCAGGAGAGCCTCCACCACAGCAGGCTGGTGAGTGATTACAGCCAAATGTAGAGGAGTCTGAGGACAAGAGATAGAAGAGGGAATAACATTTTAGTTTATCATAGCTGATGGTAATTTATTTTATTAACCCCTAATTAACCCCTAATCAATTAACCCCTTAAACTGCAGACGTGAGCTGCTGGCAGGTCCAGGTTCCATTTCCCAGTCTTGTAACTAAAGAATAACTCTGCCAGTTTGCACTGTTCATGTAATTACAAAATATAAAAGCTTTAGGATGTAATAAGCCTGACAAATTATTGGGGGTTAATCAGTTATTAACTTTAAAACATATTATGTAGTAAATACTATAGCTTATTCAGTAACTACTGAAACTAATATGTAAGTTACATAGTTATGAGAATAAGGACCTGTAGCGTGGATCCAGTTGTACACTGTGAAAAAGGTTTGTCAGTTCAACCTAAAAAATGACTTCATGTAGTAACAAGCTAGTCAACTGTTTTTATTCAACTTCAATTAAACTTTGAATAAAACAATGAAAACCAAAATAAATAGGTAACATGAACAAGGGAAATATTTCACCTCAGTTTAAATCCACTACTGCCCTGCTCCACTTTTTACAGTGTAGAGTAAAATGTAAATGTGATAGTAAGAAAACGTATTTGTTTCAGATGTACCTCTATTTTGTCTTTATGAACATTACATATTAAAACTCAGGAGACATATGTAGGTTCTCTGGTCATTTTGGATAGTAAATAAAATGGCTATATCTGCACTATAGACATTGCCACCCATGGTTACTATCAGTACCACTGTAAAAAAATCTGAGTCAGTATGTTCCTCTATGCAGCAATTGACATGAAAACACTCTACATGTCTAAATGACTTTGTTTACATCTCAACCACTGAATTATTTTGAATTTGGAATTCCCCTTGTTGTATGTTAGTGTCCTCAACCATTGTAAACATATTTTGGCTATTCGGGCCTTTTAACAATAGAACTATTATTATTATTATTATTATTATTATTATTATTATTATTACTTATTTACAAAAGATTAAAGTATGACAGAAGACAGAGATGTATAAAAATTGAGGCACCAAAAACATATTCATTAAATAAATAAATAAGTACATAAATAAACAGATTAAATTTTCCGCAATAAGTTAAAATCCATGCTCACTTAAACATATCAATGTACACTAAACCACCATAAAAAGGCAAATTCACATTAACATGCTCAGGTTTGTTTGGCTGTGTAGGGTTATTGGGTTGTAAATATGAATCACATCCTGCTGTATTCCCATCAATGCAAGCTCTCAGTTAGAACCTGTTGAACAGGTTAAAGGTCAATGCCACAGAAAAGTGACAACCAGATAAGACTTTAAAAACACTCCAGGTACTCTGTGTTTACTGCACAAATACACACATAACCACATAACACACGTACATGAACTTGCATACAAACCTGTCTGTTAAAGTACACAACGCAGAAACGTGCACATATATAGGCATTCACTTAAGCATGACCTGAAATGTACATAAGCAGCCTTACGCCTCCTATTTTATTGACGTACATCTTTTGTGTTGGCAGGTAAGTTTTTATTTAAGCATAATATGAAAGTACAACAGATGCATGCTAATATGCTTCACCATCTCAAGGTGCAAGTCTAATCATACTGGGGCTTTGTATGAGACTAACAAAGTTCTACCTTCATAAGAGTAGTGGAACAGAAGTGTATTATGTATAAAGTTCAGGGAAATGAAGAATGAAAAAGAAAGCATTCTGAACCAACATTAACTCAAAGGGGTACGGAGTAATATATATTGATGATTTATAATGATACTAAAAACACTTTCATTTCAGTGCTGGCAGGTAAAGGTGGCACTGGACAGGCACACTGTACAAAGGAAAGAGGAGGAGCCAATGTTCCAGTAAGAGCCAGGGGTAAAAAGTACAGAGATACAAAAGCAGAGTGTAGAGAAATTCCTCCAGTGTCACAATGCCTGTGGCGCTCCCTTCCTGTGAAAAAGCTCCAATTTCCCTGAATCCTGTCTGACTCATCACACATCACACAATCGCTCTGTTCTGCATATGTGTAAGAACACATGCATGCATTTTCCCCTGATTTTAGAAACACTGAAATATATACAGCTCAAAGCCATAACAGATCACAAATAAAAGAAGCTCTGTTCTGACACAGAGCCTTTCTTTATTAGCTTATCAAATGTGAATGTGCACACATCTTCTGTGACTCCCAACTATTGTCCATATGTACCAGCGCCATTCAAAGCTGAAGGAACCGGCCCAAAAGGCAAACACTAATGCTTTAAAACCAAGATAAGGACATAAAGAGTGTAAAGAAGGGGAGGGGGAAGGAAGGCTAAACAGAGGCCAAGTGAGGGTGGGAGAGGAAGAGCCGGAAGCGATAGTGTGGAGGGAGGAGGGGAGGGAGACACAAGGAAGAGTGGGATTATGGAGGGAAAATCCCTTTCCTCTCCCCTGCAGAGTACTTTTTATAATCACATTCCTGCTTGGAAAGAGAGAAAATATAACAAACGACTGAATTACTACTACTGTTTAGAGAAAAATGTACTAAAAGAATATATATATTTACCATTTACAAAACTGAAGCAAACCTTTTTGTACTGACAGTTGTGTTAGTATAAGTAAACAGAAAAACTGAACATAGAACCAATGACAACAAAGAAAACCTGCCATAACCAGAATAAACAGACATTTTGGAGACACGTGTTTTTTTTTGTTGTTGTTCATAGGTATGGCAACAATGTGTCATCATGGCAAGTTGACCTGTTGGTCAGTTATTGTTAAAAATGAAAATTAACAATTAATTAAAAAAGTCAATGAAGCAGTATCAAGGTCCAGTGAGGGACAGAGTGCGAGCAAGCAACAGAGAGAGCGCGAGAGAAAAGGGAAAGTCCCAACTTCTACCCTGAACCACAACAGAAGGTATGTTGAGAAACAGCCCAGAATGCAAGGGGCATCATGTGACTTCTCGGAATGAGGATACTTAAGTTCGTACACACATACAAACACACACTCACACGCACACCCGGTAGCTGCTTTAACAGAGCACAACTTACAACACACGCTCACAATGCTTGCACTCTGATGCAGCCGTCATTAACAGCACTGTAGTGTGAACACAGCAAACTGCAGAGAAACAAACCAGAAAAGCGAAGAAAGAACACGTGCATTCAGAATGCAAACGACCAGCACTTACCTTACGATCTAACACACGAAAAGCATCAACTCCCAATACAACAGAGATTTTCAAGTAAAGTTGTAGTTCTCTTGATTAATCTGTGGTAGTGGTATTCCTAAAATCGGCACCCAGCAACAGGCAGTCTTCTAAATGTCAGTGTAAGTGGTGGTCACAATAGAACTGTGGGCGTAAGATGGTGTAAAAGAAGGAAGAGTAGCACAGTAATATAGAGACAGTGGTAGCAGTAGTAACACTTTCTTAAATCCACCAGTCAGCTGAGAAGACACCAACATATCTGCAGTTTTATACTGACCCCAGCAATTATTTGTACTCACTGTGCCAGACTGGGAGTCTTACTGTACAATGCAAATTCTTTTAAGTGTTAAATGTATAAAGTATATAAAGTTTTTTTTTTAATAGAACATTTATTTAAAGGGGAATTCCATTCACCGATTTTTTCAAAAATTCTGCATAATTCAGTCTGTAAGACGTAAACAAAGTCATTCAGAGTGGTTTGATGTGAAAAAAGTTAATTGTAGAAAAATTTAATGACCCAAATGTCTTTACAGTGGTGTTGAGAGGAACTAGGAGTCGTGATGTCGACAATGTAAATTCAATATATATGTACTATACAAGACCACCAGTGAATACTTGTCTTCTGAATTTCATATGCAATGCTGATGATGATAAAATGGCAAATTCTGGAAAAAGGTTTTACCTGCATGTACCTCTCTGCCATGATTTTAAAATGGAAACAGAGTTTAACATGCATTATAGGTCAAAAATTATATAACTATCATAAAGCAATGTCTCAGGCATCAACCAGCATATTAATAATCAATTTATGTAATAACTTTTGTAATAACTCTTGTGTTTGTTGTGATTTTGTTGTAAACTACTTGTAAAAAACATGATTGTCACAACCTTGTTACGTCATTTCATCTGTTTTTTGTTATTTTTTTACACCTTAAAAATGTTTTCCCCCTCTTTATTTACATCGTGTGAATATTTCATGAAAAATGGATCAATAGAAATGGTTCAAAATAAGACGAAATAGTCCATGTCCTCCATTGTTTTTGTATTGTATGTTTTTTCCTGAAGTCCACTTGTATATGTGGTTTATGTACCAAAAGCAGTCATAATTCACATTTTACATGAACATTTTACAAACTATTTTCATCCCTTAGAATCCCTTAGTTTAGTTACTATGCCCTTAAGACTTACATACAAATGACCTTTGCTCTGATTGGCTGGCCCTGTATTGTGATTCAGTGGAAGCTCATAAAACAGTGCAGGCTGAAACACTCCATATAACTTCAACACAAATGGGTGAGGCTAAACTGCTTTAGGCTGAATAGGAGGATATATGTAAGAATTGGTTTTCATGACATCACAAAAACAGGCTGTTTTTGCAGTTTGGTTTTCATATGCTGTATGCACTGGGGATTGGGTGCAATGTTGGGAAATTGTATTTTATTTAAACAAAGTAAGGAAATTTTGATTTTCCATCATACAGGCCCTATAAAAACTTGCAACAATGACAATCTGCTAGGCCATAGAAATATTTGCTCTTGGTTCATCTTGTTCTTTCACACAAAGACTGACTGGTACATGCATGCATGCATGCACATACACAAACACACACAATCATGTATGGACTGTACAGTGCTTCAGTTCTAGGGAAGTGAAGTGAATGAAGACAGGATATAACTCAAAGCTAAATGAATCGTCAGACAAAAAAAAAAACAGCAGTCAGTTCAGGCACGGTTCAGACGCAGCTTCTGGTAACTGGCTTGCGATGTGTGTGTTGAGTGAAACCTCAGCATGAGGTGAGGTGATTTCTGAGGTTTGGTTAGACATGAAGTGGCTATTGCTGATGATGAGAACGGGTGAGAACAGTGGAAGTGATGCTTTAAAGACAGAGGGAGAAAGAGAGAGAGAGAGAGAGAGAGAGAGAGAGAGAGAGAGAGAGAAGAACAGAATGTGAAAGCTTGGGGACACTCCGCAGGGGGTGAGCCGTAAGCATAGTGCATTGTGGGAATGAGAAAAGGCAGTTCCCAGCGAGAGCAGAAGTGCGTGTGCAGTGTGTTTGGTGTTGTGGTGTAGTGGATATGGGCTGCCCACTGTAGGTGCTCACATAACCACTAATATAAGACTGCACTGGGTCTGGAATGATACATTACCAGGAAAGAAAATGCTTCCTCTTTTGCATGCTCACGTTTTCAGCTACAGTGGTCTTTATCAGGCTCTCCTTTAAACATACATTTAAACACACACAAAGAGGGTACTGTATGGGTACATTTTTGACCCTCAAGGTACGAACAATGTAAATGTCCCCTTAAAGGTACAATAATGGTCCACATAGCACATGGATGAGTTTGAAATGCACACTACATTCACTTTTCCAGGTTAAAGGTACAGCCCCTATAAGTACTTGTTCAAATCCACCACCAGCACTCTTGATTTAATATTACTGAGTAAACAACACACATGTTTTGGGCAAATAAATGTGTACTGCTCAGTTAAATGATCTGTCTGAATGGTCTGTCTGTCTATCCATCTGTCTGTCTATCTGTCTGTCTATCTATCTATACAACAGAAATTTTAGAATGTTGCGTTAAGATGCCTCTAAGGTGGATCCAGTGTTCAGAGGCTTTTGTCACTGTTAGTGATCAAAGTCTGTGCCAGCTTGTGTGCAAGCTGTCATTAAAGCAACAGGGGGAAAAACACTAAGAAATTATGAATTTCATGTTAAATTGTCAAAGATTCTACTGTTCACTCAGATTGTTGCTGACAATCTTATTAATCAAACTACAATGAAAAAATTTGTATTAAACAAAAAAGCAAAATAGAAGCATTTTCACTAGTGATCTTTTGGACCCCACTGAATATATGTATGTATGCGTGTGTGTTTCATAAATAAGTCAAAGAAACTTAAAAGAAAAAAAAACAAAGAAAACAAAAAAACTGAAACAAACAAACAAAAAAAAAACCTGGCACAGAATTGCGATTATGATTCAATTGTGATTATGTTTAACTAAAGGTACTGAAGTGTCCTTGAGGGTACTGCCCCAGTGACAAGCATTGTAGCCTGAAAAGTACAGTTCAGTATATATTTTTTTTTCTGAGAGTATACTATAAGCTGTTAGTTCTTCTGCTTGCTTCATACACCATGTGTGTTTGTGTGTGTTTGTACATTTTCAGGACAAAAAAGAAGTAGAACCTACATGTTTCACACACATTGAAAGAGAAAAACCATTACTGAGGTTCAGGTTAGGCTTATATATATTAAAATGCAATTTGTTGTGTTATCACACAAAATATTTTAAGATGAGTTGATTTCAGAATAAAATGATGAATACAGTTTTTGCTGTGTATGACTTTGTGTTCTGACATTGTATAAAAACAAGTGTGTGTGTCAGATGTGCGTGTGTCTTACCTGTCTTAGGTTATTATATAAGTCCAAGTCTTTGCAAGCCCGGCATAAAATGTGGATCAGCCTGTGAACTACTGCCTCCTTCTCCTGAACCACAGCAATGTGCAGAGCCCTGCAATAACACACACACAATTCACACATCTTTAAAAACACATCCTTAAAAAATATCCACACAGGGACTACATACATACATGCATACACCATCTAAACCGCTTATCCTTCTGGGTCGCGGTGGGGTGCTGGAGCCTATCCCTGATGTCAATGGGCGGAAGGCAGGGTACACCCTGGACACCCTGGACAGGTCGCCAGTCCATCGCAGGGCCACAGGGACTACATTTTATCCATATTTTATATGAATATATTAAATTACAGTAAATTACTGACTACTAGCTAGTTGCATTAGTTTCACAGTAATTTATTAGACCATATTATTAACAATAACAACAAACTAGCAACTGTGCACTGTTACTTCACAATCACATCAATCACATGGACCACAGGATAAGTGTAAAGTGGCTGTAATCTCCTGTATTTTAAACATAGCCTGGAACAATCAGTTAGTCCAGCTATCATCTATGATAAAAGCAATAACCACCATACCTGGAACAATCAGTCAGTCCAACTATCATCCATGGTAAAAGCACTAACCACTATACCACAAGTATACACCTATTCCACTATTTTTACTGTGAAGAAAATGGTGTTAAATATTGTGAAACACTGGCAATAATTAACAGTTTAAGTAACTGGCCTCAAACAAAAGCAACAACAAATGTAGTTTCTTAAAACATAATTGCATGAGTTCAATCCACTGTAGGGCACCAAATGTTTTTAGACTGACCAACATTTAGTAAATAAGGTTGTTATCTTTAATTCTTATTTACATACCCTACCCATGTAATGACATCCTGGAGTGCACAATGGATAGACATTACCAAACACTGCTTATCATCTGTGATGACGGTCTTCCAGACCTTTACTTTACTCCACATTCTTATTTTAGTCTTCTTCTTATGTCACCTTCTTGGGAAATGTCAGGAGTTTGACTTGGCCAGTTAAAAATATTTCTCTTCTTAGCTCTGTTAAATACTGTTGCCTGAATCGATGAACAACAAGTTTTAAGGCTTTCGGTCATATCTGAGCTGCAACATTTTCTGTGACTAAAAAACCTACCCTGTTGCTTTCATCAGTAATAACTTTTTCAGTGATTGTAAGCAAGCCAGTTCTAGTGGTAACTATCATGTTTCAGAGATCAAGTGGTATGCCTTGGATCACGGACAGTTCTTTTAGGTACTTTTTCTTCAAATGGGATGTTCTATTCTTGGCATTTACCGGTTTTGCTTTTGTGTTGTAACTTCTGTTTCTGCAAGTGTAGTTATATATGTTGTTTTTTTTTAGAGAAGGCTCCCAATCTGTCCCTTATAGTTTAAGGGATTTTCTTCGAAGACTGGTCTATGAAAATATTTTCAAATGCCAGGTTATTGACTATCTTTTAACTCTTACTGTCAAAATGTAATTTATAGACTCCCCATCTTCTTGGTCATATAAAGTATGACTCATCATATCATGTAATTTAAAAAACAAAAATCTTGTCTCCTCATACTCCTTCAGCAAAAAGCTACTTTTGCCTGCCTTTAAAACATCTTCTAATTTTTGGCTTCACCTCCCTCTCCCACCACTCCATCCATCACTGAGCGAAATGCTCAGTTAACTAAGAGGCCTCCTCTTATACTGTGCTTCACAGTATAGAAGTACGAAAGGATAACACATTATAATTTCTGGTTCTCATTGACTTTAGCAGTTAATAACATCAGAATGCTCAAACTGCAGGCAAACACAGAGTCAAAAATAACCAAAAAAAAACACATATAACAAATAGCAAACCTTATATTGCTGACAGGCTAACTTCATGTGGCATGGTATTTTTCCAAGTAATTTTAAATCATTTCTATTTGCCCCTTTACAATAAAATCCCAAACTGCAGCCAACAGACTAAATCATACCTATTAATATTTTGGACTAGCAGACAACATGTGATGTCCAGTCATTGTGGACACTCTTCACTTTTAGTAGTTGCTTATCCGAGTCAGGGACATCTATGCTCCAGTATTGCATAGATTACAAGGCAGGGTACATCAAGAGCAGGGTATCAGTCCATCGCTGGGTACGCACAAACATATCAGTCAGTCCAGCTATCATCCATGGTAAAAGAACTAAGCACTATACCACAAGTATACACCTATTCCACTATTTTTCTGACTATTCGTATTTGGCTCATGAACACCACTACACTAAACACTTCTCTCAAAAAGTAGATGTCAGCTTGTCACTGTACCTGCTTGAATTTTAACTGAGTTAACACATGAATCATATTTCAGTCTCCACAATGCAAATCTTGACCCCAGTATAGGAAAGAGAGATGCTTCTGTTCATCAGGCAGCTGCTTTTCTGTTAAATGCCAAATCTCATCTTGACAGCACTCCAATATTCTTTGGGCTCTGATGCGTTTTGTTACAAATATGCATAATTCATAACTTTACTTCCTAAAAATATACCGTGCTTGCGCACATACAAAAGTATAAATTGTTCCTGACACACATGTTGCTGACCAGTGGGTTTACATAATAGTATATGTGGTTTTGACAGCTGAGTGAAAAAACTGATTAACATGGCGATCAATCACCTGATTCTATGAATGACAGTTTACGAAAGGCTTAAACCTGCATGAGTCATTCTGCACACAGTGTCCACATGCAACCGATCTCAGTTAGTACAGGGAAATGCTTATCTCCCGATCACTTCAAAGAAAACCTCCATCTATCTGTGTGCAAGTTGAAAGCAGAGAGAGGTAAGACTGGGTGAAAACGAGTGAGGGACTCTTGAACTTTTTTTTTTCTTTTTTCTAAAGAGGTTTCCAGTAACAGCCACTTTGGTTTGAGGTGACTTCCTGATGTCAGGGACAATGGCACTGTTCTTTCAGTTTTGAATAATAATCATCATTGTGATTAATGTCACTTTATAGGGGCTTTCAGTGTATTTTCAGTGACAACTGGCTCTTCCTGTGAAACGCTGAAGAAAACTTACAAACACCTCTGAGGAACAGACACGCGTCTTTGCGATCTGCCTTGCAAAACTGCCCTGCAAAAATCTTGCAATACATTCATGCATAAACTGACATTCTCGGTCCAAAATAATATTATTGGCATTAGACATTAACCTAATTAACACAAACACAGGGAAAATGTGGTTTAGTGGTTTTTAGTGTGCAGTACATACACATTCAAATACATGACATGATTTGTTTTGTAGAAACTATTTAAGAAAATATAAAAAGTGTCAGCAGCGGTTTACTGACTTAGTCTACATGAGGAACTGGGGAAAAAAGATCAGTATCATATGAAATAACTTTTTCATTCATGGTTTTGAAACCACACCTCCCCAGTGTGAATGTGAAAAAAAAGAAAATGTTTCTGTGGCTCTCAACCTGTCCAATAAGAACATTTTATGATTACATGCCCATATCTAAAACAGCATATACAGTGATGTTAAAAAGTATTCTGTTCTTCTATTTTTGCTAATTTGTCACTTTTAAAAGTTTCAGATCATCCAACTAATTTTAATCTAAAGACAACACAAGTAAACACAAAATGCAGCTTTTAAATGATCCTTCTATTTATTGAAGATAAGGATCGATTCTAAAGCTTAATCACCCATGTGAAAAAGTAATTGCCCCCTACACCTAATAACTGGTTGTGCCACCCTTGGCAGTAACAACTGCAATCAAATGTTTGCGATAACCTGGGATGAGCCTTTTACATCGCTGTGGGGGAATTTTGGCCCACTCTTCTTTGCAGAATTGTTTTAATGTGGCTACCTTGGAGGTTTTTCAAGCATCAACTGTCCATTTAAGGTCTTGCCACGGCATCTCAATGGGATTTAAGTCAGGATTTTGACTTGGCCGAATTTTCTTTCTTTTAAGCCATTCAGAGGTGGGCTTCAGATCATTGTCCTGCTGCATAACCCAACTGCGCTTGAACTTTACATCACAAACTGACAGGCAGACATTCTCGTGCAGGATTTTCTGATAGAGAGCAGAATTCCTGGTTCCAACAATTAAGACAAGCCAAGCAGCCCCAGACCATCATCCTACCACCACCATGTTTGACTGCTGGCATGATATTCTTATGGCTGAATGCAGTGTTAGCCAGATGTAACGGTGGTCTGTGCCTTGCAACTCTCCTATGGATGCCTTTTTTGCCCAGTGTCTTTCTTATTGTGGAATTGTGTACACTGACCTTACCTACAGGCAAGTGAGGCCTGCAGTTTTTTAGATATTCATCTGGATTCCTTTGTGCCCTCCTGGATGAGTCATTGATGTGCTCTTCGTGAAATTTTGGTAGGCCGGCCACTCATGGCAAAGTTCACCATTGTTCAAAGTTTTCACCATTTGTGGATAATGGTTCTCACTGTGGTTTGCTGGAGTCCCAAAGCTTAAGCAATGGCTTTGTAACCCTTTCCAGACTGGCAGATTTCAATGACTTCACATCTGCATTTGAATCTCTTTAGAAAGTGACATCATGTGCTGCTTTTTGAGACCTTCTAACCTGCTTTACATTACCAGACAGGTTATATTTAAGTGATGTTTAGATATAACAGGTCTGGCAGTAATCATGCCTGGGTGTCCTAGTGAAACTGACCCCAATAGTCAATTGAAGTTGGTTAACTGGTTGAGTTAGTAGCTAAGGGGGCAATTACTTTTTCAGATAGGGCCAGGTAGGGCTAAACAGCATTTTTCCTTCAATAAATGAAATCATCATTTAAAAACAGCATTTCATGTTTACTTGGGTTATCTTTGTCCAATATTAGAAGTAGTTTAATCATCTGAAACATTCAAATGTGACAAATATGCAAAAATAGAAGAAATTGGAAAGGGGGCAAATACTTTTTCCCAGCACTGTAACAATACAAATGCACACTTTAGGGTTCCTTAGCCTTTATACAAATCTGAAATTTTAGAAATTGATCAAATTACAGTATTGGGCTAAAAGTGAGTTCATCTTTTATAATTTAATTCGTCATATTATCTTTTTGGTCACAAGAGATTGAGATGGG